TCAGTTTATAGACAAATATCCGCGCTTACTGCCCTCAAAATACCAACTTGTGTACATTTACTTACACCTACCCGCAAATTCAATGAGAAACCAAAACCAGTGCTGTCATTCACTGTGCAGTTGTTGCCAAGCAGTCGGATACTAGCACAGTTCATGTAATTCATTCGAAGGTTATGACCCTTGGACGAGATCCGACAAGATAAGCACCTTATCCCAGATCGTGGTTTCAACAAAGGAGTAAACTCCTACCAGTGAGTGAGTATGGTTTTGCGACGTTTTTTTGGCAATATTCCAGAAATTGGTTTAACGCATAGTACGGATGCCGGGAATCGAACCCGGTCATTTTGCGTGACGAGCAAACGCTTTAACCTCTAGGCTACCCCACCGCCTATGGGAACGCCTTCGACCTGGGGCACTTGTTTTTTGCTCCCATGTAGGTTTCTTGTGGTTAAATACTGGTAACCGAAATACTGTTTAATGCGGGCGTTCAACCGAATTCACCCAATAACGTGTGGATGTTAATTGCGAATGTGTAATAAAAGTGCGTCTTTAAATATTGCATGAAAGAACCACCCATCATTCACTTTAGTATTTCTGGGTCATAGTGACCTGTTGCTTGTGTCTTTCACGGCCTGTTTTGAGGCGCGCGTTTGTTAAATGCCTTGCCTGTGCCATATGTTACCGTGCTTTTTCAGGTGAACAACTGTCTTGTTATGCATGTATTTGTGACAGGTGCCAAAGATTGAGTGGGATATTCTCACCTTTCGCGGACACCTTGTATCATCACTATTTGTTAGTGATTCCATAAACATATGCTAGCAATTTTGACGAAATCATACAACGGGTTCTGTTTACAGCAGAAATTTCGTGTGGTTATGCGGGCGGTGAGGGAGCCTAGTGGTTAAAGTTCTCGCTCGTCACACCGAAGACCCGGGTTCGATTCTCAACATGAGTTCGAGTTCCCACATTGGTACAATGTGTCAAGGCCATTTCTAGTTTCCCCGCTCTGATATTGCTGCAATATTGCTTAACGCGGCATAAGATCCAACTAACTCGCTAACACTTATGGACATGTAAAGTTATATGTGTCACTTATCTTTCGCTTTCATTCACATAAACCTGGGATGGCTCTCTGAAGCAGATTGATGGGGTTAAAATCAATCCCATACTGAAACGAGGGGTGGTGGGTTAGGCTATCCGTAGAAAGTGAGTGAGTGCGTTTGGTTTTACGCCGCTTTTAGCAATATTCCAACAATATCACGGCGGGGGACACCAGAAATGGGTTTCACACATTGTACCCATGTCGGGAATCAAACCCGGTCTCTCGGCGCGACGAGCGAACTATCCGTAGAATGAATTCGCTGATCGGAGATTTGAAATCCTTGATTCCGAATATAACTGAATGCGTGTCCGTCGAATTCACACATCGACTAACATACCCACAGCTACACTATCTCTGGTTGTACCAGAATTACGTTGTGTGTATCATCCTCGATTATCATGGGATTATTATCTCCACATTGTTATATATATCCATGGATCCATTCGCTACCATTTTTTCCATATGAGTGACGTCACGTTTCCATCTATCGGATCAGCTTTAGCGTTTTCTCGCACATGGGACTCATTTGACTGGACGGCTGTTTTAAGGGTTGGGTCTGTCAATCGAACAATACAGACAACGAAGCTGTTTGAGAATGGGTCCAGGGAATCAGGATAAAAACATAGAAATATAATACACTGGTGATTTGCATGTTTGTGAATAAACCACAACGCGCGAAAACAAATGGCCCAATAAATAATGAATGAATGAATAAATAAATAATCCACTCATTTGATATGACATGAAGGATCACGTGATCTGTGATGTCTGATCTAAAAGGTCATGAAAAGTGCGGAAGCAGGTGAGACTACAAGCAGCAACAGTGGTAATGCTTTTAACAACCTCTCTAGTTTCTTCTACACGGATATTGCCAGTAATAATGTGTGCCGAGCACAAAGGACTTTCATTTCCGCGTAGGCGAAACGCAGTCACACCGACAGGGAAGATTAACCAGGGTTGAAACTCGAAATCACCCACTGGACCGATCGCACATAAGTCGTACACTCAATTTACCCAAGTTCATTCAACCGGCTGTAAAAATATTAATGTTCACATATTGATCATCAATGCGGTCTGTCATTATCAATTATTTGCAACATATGAAATCCATTTATTCAATAACCCCAACGTATTTTTGAATATTTCAGATATTTGACATGGCTATGCTTTCCCCTGGGCTACAGGAACAGCTGTTTCTGAAAGTGGAAGCTTCAATACAAGCTGGAAATAGAGTTAAGTGCCTCTGATTATAGCTAGCATTATTACAGTATGATAACTATAGTCATAGCGTATGCTGATTTCTTGCATAAATGCATACACGCATAATGCAATACCTGGTCGCTATGTAAATTAACCACAATAAAATATCACTAGAAAGCACTGTTGAGTAGAAAACCATTTTCAACGGCTTTCGCTAATGCATGGAGTCAAAGAAATACGTCGTCCCGCCTGTCAATTATATTCTAACTCATGTCATTATCGCAGTTCGGCATTATAGATTGCCAGCATATCACCGTTATCAATAAATCAGCTCGTGCGTCATTATGGCCGTTACTCTAATGTCAATATGGAAACCAGCAGAAATAAAATATAACTTAAAGTTTAATTTTCCAAAAATGGGAGAATGTGTCATATTTGAAATGTAAAGTCGACATAAGGGTAAGTTGGGTGCGCTCTAATGTACAACGTAGTGTGTGTGTGTGTGTGTGTGTGTGTGTGTGTGTGTGTGTGTGTGCGTGCGTGCGTGCGTGCGTGCGTGTGTGTGTGTGTGTGTGTGTGTGAAACAACTCGGTAGATCAGAAGCACAGGTGTCCCGGTCATCAAAAGCACAGCATTCGCTATGCAGAGTAGCGTCCCTTAGTCATTGGTTCGAATCCCGTTTCCGACTATGATCTATATCATGATCGTGGGAATTAGCTAGAGTTTTCCTCGTACATTAACCTGTTACGCCGTGATATAACGTGAATGCAATTCAAAGCGACGTTACTCGCCCGGTCCTATGTTCTGTGGCACGCCAACAAATTAATTACACTAGTGTTACATTAAAACATGTTGTGAAAAGAAATACTCCGGTACTACAAACATATACAGTTATACTACTTGTTCTATGAATGAAATAACCACTCACATCAACAATGCAAGGACAATACGTGTTCTATGAATGAAATAACCCCGTACACCAACAATACAAGTGTTATACGTGTTCTATAATGAAATAGCCCGATACACCAACAATACAAGTATAATACGTGTTCTATGAATGAAATAACCCCGTACACCAACAATACAAGTGTTATACGTGTTCTATGAATGAAATAACACGATACACTAACAATACAAGTATAATACGTGTTCTGTGAATAAAATAACCCGATACACCAGGAATACAAGTATGATACGTGTTCTATGAATGAAATAACCCCGTACACCAACAATACAAGTATGATACATGTTCTATGAATGAAATAACACGATACACCAACAATACAAGTACAATACGTGTTCTATGAATAAAATAACCCAATACACCAACAATACAAGTACAATACGTGTTCTATGAATGAAATAACCCCGTACACCAACAATACAAGTATGATACGTGTTCTGTGAATGAAATAACCCGATACACCAACAATACAAGTATGATACGTGTTCTATGAATGAAATAACCACGTACACCAACAATGCAAGTATCATACGTGTTCTATGAATGAAATAACCCGTACACCAACCATACAAGTATCATACGTGTTCTATGAATGAAATAACCACGTACACTGCCAATACAAGGACAATACGTGTTCTATGAATGAAATAACCACGTACACCAACAATACAAGTACAATACGTGTTCTAGGAATAAAATAACCCGATACACCAACAATACAACTATAAAACGTGTTCTATGAATAAAATAACCCGATACACCAAGTATAATAAGTGTTCTATGAATGAAATAACCACGTACACCAACCATACAAGTATCATACGTGTTCTATGAATGAAATAACCACGTACACTGCCAATACAAGTACAATACGTGTTCTAAGAATGAATAACCACGTACACCAACAATACAAGTACAATACGTGTTCTATGAATAAAATAACCCGATACACCAACAATACAAGTACAATACGTGTTCTATGAATGAAATAACCACGTACACTAACAATACAAGTACAATACGCATTCTATGAATGAAATAACCACGTACACTAACAATACAAGTACAATACGTGTTCTATGAATGAAATAACCACGTACACTAACAATACAAGTACAATACGTGTTCTATGAATGAAATAACCACGTACACTAACAATACAAGTACAATGCGTGTTCTATGAATGAAATAACCACGTATACTAACAATACAAGTACAATACGTGTTCTATGAATGAAATAACCACGTACACTAACAATACAAGTACAATACGTGTTCTATGAATGAAATAACCACGTACACTAACAATACAAGTACAATGCGTGTTCTATGAATGAAATAACCACGTATACTAACAATACAAGTACAATACGTGTTCTATGAATGAAATAACCACGTACACTAACAATACAAGTACAATACGTGTTCTATGAATGATATAACCAGAAACACCAACAGAACAATAATAATACGTGTTCTATGAATGAAATAACCCATTACACTAACAATACAATTATACTACCTGTTCTGGGAAGGAAATTACCCTGTACACAAACAGTAGCAAACGTTACATGCACTTCCAACCTTTAACATGACCAAGCCTTACTGGTATTAGTACAATAAATCATCAGTCCATGTCTACACTTGACGAATGGACAGTACGCCGGGATCAATGAACAATACATCTGAAATAAAGGAGCCATTCAATCCATTACACAAATTGCTACATACCTTGACGCCGCGTACTTTCTTCTTGGCAATAGCTTTTGGTTTCTCTTTTAGTGACGTCTCTGTCACCGTCTCCAATGTAGTTGACGCTGTTATTTCTACTGATGTGCCAGTTTCCGAAAGACGTCCATTGTCATTACTCCCATTATGTAAAACTGGTTCACTTTTAACTTTGAGTATACTCTTGAGAGGTGTCCCGTTTAATGTCGTGGTTTCGGGATTAACCTCGCTTTCTGTGGCGGGAGCAGGTCGTTCTTTAGGACGTTCCCCTTGTTCCCCATCGGCCTGGGGTGCTTCCGCCATGGTAGGTTGGAATAGGCTGTTGTCATCCCTTTTAGGTTTGCTTCGAGATACCTGCCATAATTAAGCTCATCAAAGAGCTTGAGATAGGCGAGGCGAAATCGAATCTACACCATCCTACTTTGAGGATCTAAGTCATAAATCGTTACGCCGAGACACACCCTTTGTCGTGCTCCATTTGGCGAATCCAGCACAGGTCGACCCTGCGAGTCGTTCTTTCAAGCATTTGCTATAGGCTACTCATGTGAATGACTACTGCAGATCAATGTTCGTCGCTTCTGCTCTGGCTGTCTAATGGTCCGCCGCTACAGTCTGTCGCTTCCTCCTGTAATGGGTAAACGCACGGACCATCCATCACAAGCTTGGGAGCGTGATGATTAACGGGGTTCCCGGTCAGGACATACTAAGGACGAAACGCTGACCACTTACACATGCAGATGCCACTATTGTGCTGACAGACAAGCATTATTACCTTATCCTATAGATCGTGCTCACGAAGAACATCATGCAGATGTACTTAGGTTGATCGTGGTACCAGTAGATTTCGGTAACGACTGTTTAGACATCACATGTTTACTCTACATCGCAGCGATATTATTGTCGCTAATGTTTATAGGATACCTGTAATCAATAATATACATAATTGAAACATTGTTTGGACACCGCTGTGGTTGTATCGGAGCTGAGATTGAATTGGCTATCGTTTTAGATAGATGAAGAGTAATGATGCGCCAGTTGGTGTTGAAATAAGGTTCTGTCATTAGTGATGATTCAACGCTTGCTGCAGTGTATGGTTGGTACACAGCTGTGCTGTATTGGTTTCATCACCCGTGTCCTATACGTATAGGGAGATCGCGTTTACTCGAATGGCACTTACTTTCTATATCGCAAGTTACACCATCCTTCTGTATTTATTCTGGGAGATTGGGTAGCCGTGTGGTTTATGCGTTCGCTCGTCACGTCGAAGGACCGGGTTTGATTTTCCACATGGTTCAATGTGTGACGCCCATTTCTGGTTTCACCCGTTCTTATAATGCGGGCATACGGATAAAGGCAGAGTAAAATATACTCACCCTTTCAAGAACTAATTATGTTCGTTTCATGCGTTTCAAAGTCGAAGTGGAATCAGTCTAAATATTTCATGAGACGTCATATTTACAGATCCCTGGCTTCAAACAAGACAGAAAGTGGACTTCATTAAGAAGTATCGATTCTCACACTGTAATCGCGCACAGTTGCGATTGACACTGATTGACTTGGACATTGAATGGACATGTACTGATTGCAATTTGTGATTATAATACTACACAGAATGATGACTGATCCAGGTGACATTAAAATGGGTTTAATTGTAAAACGGGTGTGTTAGCAGTCACATTGTTACATATTTTTCCAACGTAATATCTTCAGTTATCGCTGTTTTGATGTTATGTATGGGGATGATCGATTAGACTGTGCCTGGAATCAGACAGCCTGACACTGAATTCCGGCGCGACATCCAGTAATCCTCTCCGTTTCTAGTGAGTGAGTTAGTGAGTGATCCCGTGGGTGAATGATACCGTGAGTGAGTGGTCCTATAAGTTTGTGATCCCTTAAGTGAGTGATCCCATTAGTGAATGTTTTAAGGTATCATGAAATTTCTCGCTCTTCCTTGGACATAACAATTCTGTCACTCGAACTATCTGTATAAAATTATTTGGTACCCAAAATGTCCTTGTTGTGAAATAATGTTATTTAAAACTGATATAACACACAGTGGAAACATTTCTTAGCGTGGTCTAAGTTTTTCCTCTTCCTGATTTTCGTATTTTTACAAGAAAGAAAATCAACGAATCTTGCACAGTTTAAACTAAAGCAGCAGGGGTGATAAATTGCACGTTCCATATGATAATTTAAATCAAAATCACCATTAATAATATCAGTTATTACTTTGTTAAAACCCGATGTAGAAAGATAAATGTGATCGTACGCTGTTTGGCAGTGGTTAGAGATCGTAAAGTGAGTGAGTGAATGAATGAGTTGGGTTTAACGCCGCCTTTAACAGTATTCCAGTTATTTCGCGGCGTGTCAGCTTAATGTGGGAGGAAAGCCCGAAGTGATGCAGGTGTCAGACGTTTACCACTTCGGTGAAACCCACGAGCACGGGTATGGTGCTGACAAACCTAGAAACATAATTGGGGCGAACCGGGAATCGAACCCACAATCATAGGTTTCTGGCGTGCCCAAGGGACGCAACTCTGCACAGCGAATCGCGGCGCCTTAGACGACTGGGCCACCCGTGCCCCCAGAGATCGTAAAGACATTCTTAAGTCCGATTTCAATATAATCGCGTACACATATCTGGCTTACTTATGTGTTTATAAGTGAGTGTACGTGAGCATACGTTAAAATACGTTTATAACGAACTCACGGATATGACGAACTTAATTTTTGGTCCCCGCCATTTGCTGTATAGATGTGTGTATGCTTATAACGAACTACGGTTATAACGAACTTAAATTAGTGGTCCATTTGAGTTCGTTATAACCGTAGTTTTATCCCGCCTTTCGCAATATTACAGCAATAACACTACGAATGGACTGTTTATGTTTATGAAGCATTGCATTCCAGCGTACCATCCCATGGGGGATAGTCTACCCCGCTGTAACACATCACCTTTGCTTTAATCGATACACCTCAGATTGGAAAAATAATTACTTGATGTGCTTTCAACGTGACTCCCAGCTGTGTACATTATATAGACGACACCAGGGAAACTATTAATCCCCTCATATTGTATTTCCTACATTCAACCATGTGTATATTATTCGTTGTAGATGTTGTTTGGCTGTGAGAAGCAAGCAATCAACTTCGCATGGAAACTTACTTTGTGTGGGCCACACCTTCAGCTTGCCGGTTCATCAAAGCCATACCTCTGAACCGACAAAGGAAAATGGTAGATGTTATGTGACAATACCGTTCTTTTCTCCTCCGTATTCTAGACCTATTCGACGTTTCTTATTCAGCAACAGTAATCCCTGGCTTGCGAGTCTTCCTGCATGAGTGTGTATGGTTTAACGCCACTTTTAGAAATATTCAGCAATATCACGGCGGGGGACTCTAGAAATGGGCTTTTCACATTGTATTCATATAGGGAAACGAACCCGGGCCTTCGGCGTGACGAGCGAACGCTTTAACCACTAGGTCACCCCACCGACCGTAGTCCTGCATGGACATATCTGCATTATACTATTTCAGATCATCACAATATTTCTGTGTTGGATATATCAACATCAGTATTTCGAACGCGAGTGACTTTCATATTACACCTGCCCGTCCTCCTCAAAGGTCGAGGGAGATACCGTTATTCGTCCTTTCACCTCTCACTAACATGTTATTTACAACGTACACATTCGGGTAGTCAATGGCATCAAATAATTATTAAATAGATCAAACTTTAAATCAGAATTTTGATGGACAAAAAGCAGTTAAAAATATTGCATAGATTACAAACAAAAATGTAAAAAGGGTACATGTACATAATACTATTACATGTACTGATCAAGTTTGTTGTTAAACGCTGCACACAGCAATATTCCATCTGTTATGAGGGCGGTCTGTAAATAATATAGTCAATCACGTTTGACCTTCAGACTGTAGCTAAAATACTGGCACTGCTAAATATAACCGCTCACAGTCACCTGACCGCCGATTCCTACCCGGATTGTAACCACGTGATCCAAATACAATGATGATGTTTATCGCTAGCTCAATGGAAATTTCTTGAAAAACGCAATTGCAATTTTAGTCATTTCTGTAAGTAAAGTTTTTTTCAGTTTATAAGTATTGACACACATGCAGCTATCTCCGTCAATTAATAATCGCGATATTTCATGAATCTATTTCAAGTGGCGATGACCATAGGTTTGTTCCGTTTGTCCTGTGAAACAAGTATTGCTACACAAAAAATTTAATAGCACATAACAGATAACACATCGATATGAATATCGCATTTTTATTCTTTCGCAGAACATATTTCGAAACCGGTTGTGTCAAACTTCGATGTGTCGAATTCCCGGTTGTCTCGAACTCATTCGGGTGTCCCAAGTATCCAAATTAAACACGCAATTCATGAGTTTCGGAAATTCAGTTTGCTGGTTGTCTCGAACCTCGGAGAACTCGATTTTATTCCAGATCCTCACGAGTTCGACTTCTCCGGATTTCATTGTAATGCAAATACTGTTTTTGTTTAGTAATTGAGAATCTAGAATAGATCTACCCCACTAATGGGTATGTCTCTCTTTACACGTTTGCCTTAGGACCATTATCGATCTTCAAATGAAATATGGCCTAATCCTGATCATAAAAGCATTATCACACGTACCTTAACCGGGCTTGTGTCACAACGTGTTACAGTAATAAACCTCAATCCTTTTGTTGAAGAATAATTATCGCAACATTCATACAGTTCCTGCTATGCGAATACACTCTCTACATCCGTGATTGGCACAACCGTTAAAATCACCAGTATGACAACTGTAAAAGAATTTTATCAGACGGATATGTGAGGTATATCGATCTGATTTCCTCTTCTGACTTCTCCGCCTCCGTGGTCTAGTACGTAGACCATCGGACCTAAAAGAAGAAGGTCGCTGGTTCGAACCACGTCCGCGTCACACCAAACGGCGTTGAAAGATGGTACTTGTTGTTTCCCTGCAAAGAAGGGGATAAAACAAGGACTGGTCGTCAGGGAGTCAGTACACGTTTTCTGAGTGGTGAATGGTATCTCAGTGGGCTAGCACTGTAAAACCGGCATATATCCGAACATTCTTTGCGGCAGCTCGTCACAACCTGTACACAAAGTCAGTGAAAATCTATCTTCAAATGATGGAAGGAAGACAAGCAGTGGCCTAACTAGAGGAACAGGGATATGTCTGAAACTTAAAGGGGCGGTCGGGTAGCCTAGTGGTTAAAGCGTTCGCTCGTCACGCCGAAGACCCGGGTTCGATTCCCGACATGGGTACAATGTGTGAAGCCCATTTCTGGTGTCCCCCGCCGTGATATTGCTGGAATATTGCTAAAAGCGGCGTAAAACCATACTCACTCACTCACTCACTGAACCTCAAAGGTTGGTATGGCTCATGTCAATGCCTTCATTTAATAGAGATCGGCAGTACCATGTGAGAACCGAAATTTTGCATAAAGACATGTCAGATTCCAGACAGAAACAAAACAAGAATGATACATTAAAATCCTAAGCTTCTTTCTGGACAGATCCTGACCTCCGAACATTTCAAATGATGTTACCGCAAGTAAATCTGTAAATACAGATGATGCATATCATGTTGGCGTACGCATGCTGAACTCTATGACACTTTCAGACAAGATCATTGCAGAGTACACATTCAGAAAGTCGTGGCAATGCATGCAAGCACTTTGAAAACCAAGAGGAGATCAGTTATGTGTTCCCAGTGTTATTATTTCAGAATTGATAGTGCTATTATTCAATAGAACTTAGAACATTGTTGGAGTTTGAACTTTGCAGTTCTCTACCCGCTCTCGGTTGTGTTCTTAAAAGAACCCAACACAACCTGCATTGTCGACATTCATCTCAACTTTATTGGATGCTGATACCCCAGGACCTCCAGACCTGCTTCATCGATTGCTTTGACCTCGTGGAGTCATATGTTCTCATTTGTCTAACATGTGTTGCAAATATGTCTCACAACATTATGGCCAGACCATGCTCAAGCGGCACATCCACCAAATATGTTACACATCTTAGAAGGCCAAAAATGGACGTTTTGGAGCTACGTTGGCATTTAAGACGAATCCATGCAACGGGTTGGTTGGTTGGTTTGTTGTTTAACGCCGCACTCAGCAATATTCCTGCTATATGACGGCGGTCTGTAAATAATCGAGTCTGGACCAGACAATCCTGTGATTAATAGCATGAGCATCGATCCACGCAATTAGGATCGATGACATGCATCAAATTAAGTCAGCGAGTCTGACCACCCGATCCCGTCAGTCGCCTTTTACGACAAGCATAGTCACCTTTTACGGCAAGCATGGGTTGCTGAAGACCTATTCTACCCCGCCATGCAACGGGAGATGCTGACGTCTCGATAGCCCAATAGTCTCATTGGCATCACAGTCACCAATGCTTGTCAAAGCAATGACACCGCTATCATGCCAACATCGAATGAAAAGATATCGTCCTACAATCAATGGACATAAAGGGTTCTACCAAGTTCTGGAACATCACTGCAACAAAGAAGAAGCTTGGCAATATTCTATGTCGAAATTTGTTGTTCCTCCCTGCTGTTTCAAAGAAAGCAATTGTTTGTCTTTTATACAGTCAACATTGTGAACTCCTTGATATATTAAGACACTGAAGGTTGCCTCAAGCCATGCCCACGTCCATCCCTAGAATCTACCACATACATCACAATTTACTTCCAAGTCCGAGAAGGGCAAGGCAAAACAGCCGGACTGAAACCTAAAGACTAGGTTTGGAAGGCAGTTGGCAACAAAACGATACCCACACAGCTGTAAAAAACATGGATTAAGATATACGCATTTGCGTGATGTATGCCATGGACGTGCTTGTCGGAATGCCCAGATTCCTGATCTTCAGTGATGAACAACATCAGACTTCGCAAGATGATTTTTCCTGATTTTATGTGCAGGATGGAAAAACTTGAACCGACTCGTGGTAATGGCAGGCATAATGGACAACAAACTGGAGTTGTATTACTTCACTAATTGCAGTCAACTTTTTTTTGACAACAACATTTTTGACAATGAGGCACTATACTTGTATAAATTACTTGAAACTAAATTAGATTTTGCATTTAGTTTACCTTTTAAGTATAGGCAAGTATATTTGAATTCAATATCTATAATTTAATTTAATCTTAATATCTACATTCTAAACCTACAACCTAAAACCTTCGGTTCGAATTTTCTAAAAAATAGATCAAACTTTTTCGGATTTTTAATACCTGCCAACCTTTCAACACATATACAACGTGATGTTCAAATCGATAACCAGAGTGACAGTGACAATGACTGACACTAGCGCTATGGAAACTACACTCTCTCTATATGTTCTATTGTATTGGTTAGCAGGTAAGCCGTGCGTGATGGTTGGAACAGCCTTGTCCTAGAAGCCCAGTCTCTACTAACCTGACGTGTTCTGTTCTCTACGAACAACGTCATTGATCTAAGCGAGAGTTAATTTCTTTTTATTGAGCCCTAGTCTCCTTATATGCAGATCTGGCGCACTCATTAATCTATTCTAGGGGTGTCATGTTTCCCTTTACTCAAGCAAGTCGACAGGCCATTTCCTGCAGTATTTTCACTTAGCAGTTTCATCATTAGAATCGAGGTAAAGATGAAGGCTACCGTTAATACGGCAATTTACCCTTGGATTTACTTCTGATAACTGTCTTTAAAACTGGTTTCACATCTATTACGCCATTCGTCAGTGATATGATTTGCGCACATTGCGTACGTTCACAGCTTCATTCAGCGCGAGACAGATCAATAAGAACAGGAATATGACCCCAGTTACTTATAAAGCCGCCAGTTAATCAGGATGTATCAACTTTTCCTTGATTCTTTTAAGACTCTTTGCGACAACTGTTTTAACAAAAGCACTCATCGACAAAATGAGTCAGGCGTATGTTTTAACGCGTTGGGACCTTAGCTGATTTCAGTTCTCCGTGAGAATGATAATGATGAAGGCAAATATACCAATCAACGCGAGTACAAAAGCAAGTCATCTGGGTTCAACGCAACATTGAACAGTATTGAGCCAGTTCTATTGCTTACCGTTTGCTTAACTCTTGCTCGATGTTTGAGCAGGTATGCAACACTCAAGGCCTCAGAAGGCTTTCAATGGGTTTATGGTAGGTATGTGGAAGACATTTCCAATTTTGCCGCATTAGCAACCAAACTGATGTCCAATGAAATTCTTTGTTTTGACTTGCACTTTATGTTTCCCTGTTTGTTCAGGTGAACAATTGACGTGCCTTTGCATGTGTTTGTGACGTGTGCCAACAATGGGAAGTAACACCCCTGGTAACACCAGTGTTTGATTATGATTCATAAACACATGCTCGTGACATAGACGGAATCGAACAATGATCGTCTTATTTTTGTGGAAAGTGTTTTGTCGCTTTTATTCATCATATATTGTAATATTTCTTAACATGAATATGTGTCGTAATTATAATGATAGCAAGATAGTGCTAACGTTAGGTCACAACATTATGAAGCTTAGTTTCGGTAACTGTATCTCAGGGGTACAAACATCATTCTATCACGACATATTATTTTCTTCCTCCCCTACACTTTTTCTCCTCCTGCTTCCCTTCCTCCGTCTTAACCTTCTCCTTCTTCTCCTCCGTTTTAACCTTTTTCTTCCCCTCCGCCCTAACCTCCTTCTCTTCTCCGTCTTAAGCTCCTCCTTCTTATCCTCTGTCGTCACCTCCTCCTTTTTCTCCGTCTTATCTTCCTTCTTCCCCTCCGTTGTAACCTCCTCTTCTCCTCCGTCTTAAGCTCCTCCTTCTCCTTCGTCTTAACCTCCTCCTCCTCCGTCTTAATCTCCTCCTTCTCCCCCGTCTAATCTCCTCTTTCTTCTCATCCGTCTCAACCTCTTTCTTTACCACCTCCTTCTCACGCTCTCCTTCTCAATCTTCTCATCTCCTCCGCTTTCTTCTTTTCTCCTCCTATTTCTCTTCCTTCGTCTCCTCCTCCGTCGCCTTCTTCACCTATTTCTCTTCCATCTTCACATCGGCCTTATGACCCCCCTGCTATTTGGCCTTTCTAAATGTGTCTCTTGATACTCTTTTTCATGTTCCTAATTTTAATGGGACGATAGAACGTCTGCCCTGAGCACGTCATGTCGGTGGTTCGATCCCCGCGTTATACCAAAAGACGTTAAAAGATGGTACTCCTTTAAGGGAGTTAAACAAGGACCGGTCAGTATAGTGTGCATCAGACTTAAACTTTAAAACCGGCACAAGTCCCGACGACAGCAAGCAGCCACACACACGTGCATGCACATCGCTATATAAATGTAATAATCTATAATGCGACATTAAACCCCAATCCTCACCTCACCTAATGTTAGTGTATCTTCCAGTAACAATCATATTGTTAGGTAACAGTAGATAAGTGTATTTGTAGTTATTGTCAGTGGCAGCATACGATTGAAGCGCTAGTAAAATGTCGAGTGCTGCAGTGGCCAGATTGTAACAGGATGTGTTTTAGAGTTACCTCCCGTGGACGTAGACAAACATTGGAGGCAATATCGCGACAGATTCTAGAAGTCTGGTTGTACCTTCAACATGAGGTCGATGATGACTCGCATCTCGCAACACCGAATTCCTTCCAGCCCAGCACTATCCCGGATGCAAGTACACAGTCACGCCTGTTACTTTAGTACATATTGCTGATGACACGTATGTGACCCATTGCATTGCCTGACTGATTGTAAACCTAATGTGTGTTAGAATATAATTGGTTATTCAGTGATCCTGTGTGGTCATTTACTGATTTCACAATTTAGTTCTGCATGAACCGATTTCTCGTTTATCCTTTGCTTTTTAACTTGGAAATCACTTCGCAACAATATGAAATAACAGTTTATTCACATTCGCACGTCTCAATGTAAGATTACAGCTCCTGACCAATTTACAGCTCCTAACCAACGCGCTTTGGTGACGAACCCTTTTTCGCACCTGAAAATGGAATGAAAAAAAATGAAAAAATGAGAATCAAAGGAAGAGTTAGTATTCTTTACCGATCCACGTTTTGCTAATAAGAATTGACCAGCGGTGGGGTTGCTTTATGATTAAAGGGGCGCTTGGGTAGCCTACAGCTAGTGGTTAACGCATTCGCTCGTCAGTCAAAAAGGCCCGGGTTCGATTCCCCACATTGGTACAATGTGTGGGTTGGTATATTATCAAAACACATAAATTGTCTCCGAAATTCTTGTAAACATTAACCATGCATGAATCAGGCTCATATCTGGTTTTGTTGTGGAATGTACACAACAAAATGAGTTGTGTGTTTGTTTTTTGTTTAACGCCGCACTCAGCAATATTCCAGCTATATGACGGCGGTCTGTAAATATCAAGTCTGGACCAGACAATCCAGTGACAACATGAGCATCGATCCACGCAATTGGGATCGATGACATGCATCAACCAAGTCAGCGATCCTGACCACCCTATCCCGTTAGTCGCCTTTTACGACAAGCATAGTCGCCTTTTACGGCAAACATGGGTTGCTGAACACCTATTCTACCCCGGATCCTCACGTGCCCAACAGAATGGATGTTACGATCAGCATAAATAGGATTTTTAAGCCAATATGTTCTAATCTTAGCGAAGCATAGTGGTTGCAGAAACAATAGTTTATAATTAATATTAGGCCTTCTGTAAAGATATTTCTTTATTGTGTTCACATAAACGTCAAATTCAACCGGTTCAACACAATAAAATTATATAATTTTGCCCCAATTCAGTTTCAACCATTCAAATGTTAATCCACATGATATTGACTGATAGAGCTGGCTTGGAGAAGAATTAGATAAAATAGTAATTTTCTGTTGAAAGAATCACTAAGAAAGAAACAAAATACCAATTGAGTGAATGAAACAAAACCTTACCGACATGGATGGCCACCATTGGATCTTTATCGGAGCTGCTGATATGAATCGAAGCGTGGCCACTTCCGTCAACGTCAATTGTCTTGCCAGTACAACCGCCGTTCTCGAGGTTGCCAGAAATAACATCGCAATAGCTTCCAGACGGAAGTCCAGTGTTAAGAGATTTGGAAAGGTCATATCCCTCAAGGTTGAAGGCAATAAAGGCCTTGTTTCCTCTGGAAAATGCTATCTGATAGTCTGAGCCTGACCACCAATTTGATAACCCGGAGTAACCCGCGATGTTCCTGAAGGCAACCATGTTGTACATCTGGCGCCATCGGTGCTCACACGTCCAGCCGTTACCACAGACCATACCACTAAAAACAAAAAATGGCCTCTAGATAACGTAATGTACAAATATGAATGGTGTTGTTCCCCATCTACGTTCAGGAATCATATATGATATAACTGGAATACTGTTCAAAGCGGCGTCAAACAAACCTCACTCACTCAATACTACAGTAAATTACGTATATAACGAACACGCTTATGGCGAATTGACTGATATAACAAACTTGTCTTTTTGACCTTGCCATTTCCTGTTTATATGCTGTATATATGCCTATAACGAACTACGACTATAACGAACTAAAATTAGTGGTCCATTTGAGTTCGTTATAACCGTAGTTTACTGTATATCAAATCTACATTCTCTCCAGAAACGTGTTTGCTTGAAGAATTTCTCATATGCTTAGACAAGGGAAAGGTACAGACGATCTGAAACATAAAGTGTATATATTGGATCCTGCATATACTTTACATACTTGATGGTTACCGGCTTAGTACTCATGTCGCCGTTCTGAGGGGGTCCTTGGTCAGTGTTGGCTTGGTTGAAGTCATATGAGCTCATCACCCTGGGGAAACCATATGGATGGGCCAGCATGAAGGCTGTAGCCAGCTTATAAGGACGGGGCTCAAAGTGGGTGAGAACACCTCCGCCGCCGCCATGACCACGCTGATTGTCATGGTTATCGATGAAGACGACAGAATCGTCGGATTTCAACATGCCCCAAGCTGATCCCCAGTTGGCTAAATACTTCATGGCGTTTTGCTTCCTAGAAAGAGAAACAGTTTTCATTGAACATGCATGCAATATCAGAGACTCGTATGCAAGGAGCCGGATAGCATTGCAATGTGGAAACTTGTGAATTACCACTTTGGTCCGATAATTTATTAATCATTTACCTGAAGACTTGAGCCAACTTGGCACCAAAAATGAAGTTGGTGACCCTGCCACTGCCAAGGTACTGGTCTCCCTTGATCGGCTCACCACCCATGTCGATTACCTCCTGGAAGACGAAAGGCTTCTTGCCACCCCCAAACACGTCAGAACGGAGATTCTTTACACTCCCGAATATAGCAGTCAGGTCCCCTGCAACACAGGAGACGGGAAATAGTTCATTTGTAAACTCTTTATGTCATTATGTTGGTTCGTTGGTTGGTTTGTTGTTTTACGCCGCATTCAGCAATATTCCAGCTATACGACGGCGGTCTGTAAATAATCGAGTCTGGACCAGACAATCCAGTGATTGATATCATGAGCATCAATTCATGCAATTGGGATTGATGACATGAATCAACCAAGTCAGCGAGCCTGACCACCCGGTCCCGTTTGTCGTCTCTTACGACAATGTTGGTGTTATAAAGTTGAAGTTGGTATAACTCTAAATGTCCAATACCCATATGTTATTGTGAACTTGAGACATAATCGTATCCAAAATATTACAATGGAAATGTTCAATGCCATACGTTTCACTTGACGTAATAGATCTGTGCATGTTTGGTATCAATTCGTTCTAGGGGACATTTTAGCTATTATGGATCAAGTGAACAACCTCCGTTCCGAGGTATTTGGTCACAACAAGAGGCCCTTCTAAGCACAGTCGCCTGTTACGGCAAGCATGGGTTGCTGAAGACCTATTGTTCCCCGGATCTTCACGGGTCAACATTTTAAGGACAATGTTAGGTATTGTCTTATAGTCGTACAATTGTGAGGACATTATTATGTCTTGTCTTGTACTCGTAACATTTTAAGGACATTATTAGGTCTCAACCCCACAGTGATTTTTTCCAACATCTTCACGGGTCTAATGTCATTATGTGATACTTATTTTACACCATATGTGGAACTTAGTTTACCTATCAGCAGAACTTTTATAAATAGGTATTTATCCTACCCAATTGCTCTTGGGTTACAGTTAATGACCCCATTGGTGCTGTCATGACAATGAACACTGATCACAATTGAATGACATGTGCTTATTGGGGTAAGTCAATGTTATTTGGAGTCAACAATGCAATACCACTTTTGGAAGCACTCAATGGGTGCTGACAAAGACATTGGCAACTGAACATTACCGTTTTTACGTGTCGCTTTTGTCGCCAAATGTACCAAATTGCCTACCTGGCCACATATGTTTGGCAGCGTCGACTCTGAATCCAGCAATTCCAATGTCGACCAGGTGGTTAAGGTAACCCTCAATCTCGCTCCTCACGTAATCCTTGCCGGCTTTCAGATCCGCCAACCCGACCAACCGGCAGTTCCTCACCTCTTCCGGGTTATTGTAGTTATGAATTTGCATGTCGCCTGTGTGGCAGTTGGAGTTGTCGTTGAAGTCGGTTGGGCCGAATGGAACGCCTGGGTACTTCAGCTGGTTGGCGTCGTACGACGATCCAGCAGTGCCTTGACCCGTACCTCCAACACCGGTCATGTGATTGATCACAGTGTCCGCATATATTCTAAAGAAAAAGTACTAAAGAACTATATCTTCGTATAAAAAAATGTCTATACATGTATTGATATATAATTTATGGTATATACCTGGCTCTATTTGTGCGTGCGTGTCTCTTCATGCCACACTTAAATATCATGCAATATGTCAGGTTGTTACCTTTTTTACAGAGGCCACATGCATTCATAAGACAATCTTCATCTGTAGATTAATTAATTGGGTAGTTATAACCGACTTAATATGCTTCCCTTTGAAATTTTTCTTCGAAATGAATCCTCTCCCAAGACGACGCTCTCACACGCACGAAGCTCACCTGACTACAACCTTGTTGCACGTACCTGGCTCACTCACTCACTCACTCACTCACTGATTCCTTGCATAAGTCATTACATTTATGTGACGTTCTTCTTTAACCTGTCCCTGATTCTGTGTGGGTATGTGTGATGCTCACCTGACTACAACCTTGTTGTACCTGACTCACTCACTCACTCAGTCATTCCTTGCTTAAGTCATTACGTTTATGTGACATTCTTCTTTAACCAGTCCCTGATTCTGTGTGGGGATGTGTGAAGCTCACCTGACTCCGGCCTTGTTGCACCTGGACACCATGTCCCTCAGGTCCTGCTCTGAGCCGCTCCTCGTCTGAAGTTTGTAGCTGACAGGCTGGTACCTCTCCCACCATGGCCGTCTCGGGTTAGTGACTACACGGTTCTCATTGGGAGGAGATATCTGTAGGTAGGAACGGCATGTTAACCTGCATACATTTCTCTTCTCTGAGCACATGGTTTCCCCAAAGGAGTCAAGTCAACAAACAACAGACTACAAGAATATAATTCAGTCCACGCTCTATCGTAAGGCCTGCTGAATAAAGGATATGTGTTAATTACAAAATAAATCAGTTCATCCATCGTGGACGTTTGTTCAGGAAACAAATCCGACTTTTTCCTCATTTTAAAACAAACCTTACATTATTCTTTATGCTAAAGACACTCCTCATTGTCGTTGGAGGCTCTTCACGACAGAATTGTATCGTGCACTTTTGCACACGTTTATTTGTATGATGGTCCTCTTGTGAAAAAAGGCATTCCACAGTTTTCTTAAACGAGCCAAGGACGTGGGGCATAATCTCAATATCAGTGTTTATTTTTTAATGGTTCTGTATGCTGGACGGTATAGAAATTAATGTCAACCAAGCGGTGCCATATCAAATCGGCCCAGAGGCTATGTGAACGTCGAGTTTATGTGCAGTGTGTTGAGAGAATCAGCAGCCCTGCAGGCCTGAAAGGTGAAACAGAAGGCTTTCTGTTTGCTGCTCAGGACCAGCCACTTCCCAATCGAAACCGTCACTGTGTGACTTTGCATCAAAATGTAAATACAGTAAACTACGGTTATAACGAACTCAAAGGGACAACTGATTTTAGTTCGTTGTAACCGTAATTCGTTATAAGCATATATACAGCATAACTATAGCATATAGTCGGAACTAAAACGTTAGTTCGTTATATCCGTTAGTTCGTTATAAGCGTGTTCGTTATAACCGCAGTTTACTGTATGAAAAGTCGAATATTCAATGAATTTAATGTGTCCAACACATTGTCAGTGGATGCCGACCTTTGGCACGAACACAGTATCTTAAGCGACATGATGGTGTGGCTCGATCATTTTATTACTGTCGTCGCCATGCTTGTGGTTTTGACACAGAGGTACTACGGTACTACCCAGAATATGTATAGGGCGTCATGGAAAATTATAAATGCGATGTATAGGCATGTATACAAACTCAGACCTATCCAGGCGAACAAACCTGATCTTGTCCTTTTTGATAAATCAAATGAAACCAGTCATATTATTGAATTTTCTGTCCCTTTTGATACACATATTATTGACAAGATTGAGGAATGTTTTTGCAAATATGCAGACCTCGGTTCAAAATGTGACGCTTGAAACCAGAGTACATAGTTGTCCGACTCCCTATTGTTCTCAGTGCCTTAGGTTAGGTAGCTCGCAATCTGCTGACTGACATTGGGAGAGTACCCGGGTTTGTTCCGAGGAATACAGCCCTTCTGACAATCTGGTAATACAGGTGGCTGCAGTGTTGGGGAGTCTTAGGCAGCCGTTTCTTTGGTTGCGTGTTTGAGGTGATGAGCCTGACCAGCCTGACTGTGATCACCCGAACCCTCTTTGCAGTATTGTTTGTTTTAATCTGTAACAACTACTACTACTACTACTACTACTACTACTACTACTACTACTACTACTACTACTACTACTACTACTACTACTACAACGATATGTAATTTAAAATTCAATCTCAAAAGATAATAAAAAATCAAAAACGTTCGTTTGCACAACGAAGATTTATTTGTCCGATGGTGTAACCAAAAAAGCTAAACAGTTCAGGCAAAGAGGATACCTTGATTACTTTAAATATAATATAAGAGAAAAAGAAGTAAACTCTTTACTAGAAACCGGAAGTTTGTTCACATACTACAACGTAGTGGAATCCACTCTTGTTTGTGTAAAAGGAGACTTATGCTCTGTGCTTATCGTCAGAGGTGACTAACGGGATCGAATGGTCAGGCTCGCTGACTTGGTTTGATGCATTTCATCGTATCTTAAGTACGTAGATCGATGCTCATGATGTCAGCCACTGGATTGTCTGGTCCAGACTCGATTATTTAGAGACCGCCTTCATATAGCTGTAATATTGCTGAGTGCGACTTTAAACTACGAACAAACAAACAAATAAACATCCTGTTCAATACCCTTAAAACACTCAAACAATTCCGTTTGATACGTCTGTATAATGGTGTAACCTTACAAACGAAACAGTCAAGGCACAAGGGAGTGGTGGGTCCGTGTACTATCTCTTGAAACCTTTCAGTTTAACGGAAAACCTACTTTATGTATGTATTTATGTATGTTAGGTGAGGTGAGGTGAAATTGGGTTTAACGTCGCGTCCAAGATTATTGCACTTATATAGCGACGTGCATGCACGTGTGTGTGTGTGTGGCTGCTTGGACTAGTCCGGACTGATGCTGATTTATAGTGCTAGCACACTGAGATATCATGCCGCAGTTTAACATGAATACCCCACTCAGACACAGTTTACTGACTCCGAGCCGACAAGTCCTTGGTTTAGCTCTTTGATGCCGAGCGCCAGACAGGGTAACAACAAGTACCATCTTTTAACGTCTTTTGGTATGCCGCGGCCGGAGATCGAACCCCGGACCTTCCGCTCTCCGGGCGGACGCTCTACCACAAGACCACGCAGGCGGTCTTTTATTTAGTTAATGGATATAACATACATGTATAAAAATACAATTAAGGAACTAATAGTTTTCATCCTACCAATGCCCATGCTTACTTATGAATAACTGTGAGGTCGTTTAACACAAGAGTTATTGCAGTGAATGGTATTGAAGCTGTATGGCGAGGTGACTGATTAGTAGTCATATGTGACCATCTACTGACCTGAACGCCACAGTAGCCATATGGTCCAAGGAACCTCTCACACTCTTTCGCAATGTCCGACCACGTCCACTCGAACAGGTGGGTGATGGCACTCCTACCACTCGAACAGTGGGGATCACCGTACATCGACGCTAGGGCTACGCAATATTGCAGGAAAAAGAGGCATGTTAAATGTTGAACATGGTTCGAAACAGGTACTTACTGACATATTTCATTTGCTTGATTAATTAGGGTGTGTTGTTTGTCGAACACTAGTTTGTATACATTTGATCTCTTAAGCACGGCTCCTCACAACCAGGACAGGGGTAAAGAGAAATATACCATAGCTTGCTTTGTATCGTCGGGTGTTTACCGGTAAAGCAGGACATGCTTACCCTTTTCGTGAACACCTGGTGTCATCACTTATTTTCAGTGATCCATTCATACAATTTTCACCACTGTGGTACCTTTTATGCCCTATGGAATCTGTTTCGACAGATAATCGAGACTGGGTATTCTCTGGCCTTCACGTTTTATATTTACATAATAGTAATTCGACACCTAACCAGCTCGAAAGGATTTGATGTGATGTGATATCTTTTAGAGATAAACCATTTTGACATGTAAATGGGTAACGGTATGATTTGATCTTCATAAAATTCGTCAGTTTAAGCTCCAGTTCAATTTGAAAGTTCTTTGCTGGAGGCATTATGCAGGAGACATAACTAGTATCCGTCTCTCTTATCTAAACTTGCTGAAACACGTGCCCATTCGATGTCGGGGAGCATGGGTAGCTTCGTCGACTACGGAACCACAATTTCGTCGGGATTTTATGATCTTATGATCGTAGTTCGAATCTTGGTTCGTCCTGATTGGTGAATCAGTGTCTAAGAATTTCGAAACTTGTGCTTTCCACCCACATTATGCTTAAATGCCGTGAGGAAACCAAACACACTGTTCAAAGATACACCTAAATCACCCACTAACTCATGCCTCAACCCGCGTGAAAAGTCCAGGTTAGACTAATGTTAATCATCAGCGGCCTATGACTGTCGTAAGAAGCGACGAACGGGATAGTGTGGTCAGGCTCGCTGGCTTGGTTGATTCAGGTCCTATTCCAATTGCGTAGATCGATGCTCGTGATGTTAATCACTGGATAGTCTGTTTCAGATTTAATTATTTACAGACCGCCGTCATATACCTGGAATATTGCTGAGTGCGGCGTAAACACCAAACAAACAAACAAACAAAGTATGCTTTAAACATACTGGTGTTAAGTACAGACTTACCCGTTGGCAGCAGGAACGCTAAAGACCAGGTAGGAATCATGGCAGACGTTGCTACAATGACAGGAGGAGATAGCCGATCTGTCTTTTATAGAGAGATAAAAATTGCTAGGGACAGCCTTGACATATGCTTTATATAATTTGTCATAAGCTTTGTCCTGTTCACTTTCACAAACGTCATCTGTTTTACTTGACATGAGTCGCACCTTCTTGATTAATACCACAACACAGCGAGATTGTGAAATCTGCGCGGTAATTATGACCTGCAGGTTTGTCATCGAGAGATTATTGTTTGAAAGTTTACTCAGGTATTATTTTCTTAATGACCATATCAAAAGTTATATTATGAAACAAACCATCCCGTTTCACCAGAAATATGACACTTTCTAGGAAAGGTCACAAAAAGTAATACACACATTAGGGGATGGTCATGGAAAAATGGACATTTAATAATGAAATACAAAGCCCTTAGTGTTTTTTTCATTTTGTCTTTTCATGGAGGGTTACGGAAAGTTGTACATGGGCACAAGGAGCGCCATCCGAACATATGGCAAGCATTGGGGAAGTGTAATTACTTTCAGTATATCCGTGCATCTACAAGGTTTGACCCCAACCCCTAATAACGTTTGACATTTTGACTTTGACATTAGCCAACGTGTGTTCGTCATTATAGACAGCGGCAGCGTCATAACTAGCACCTTAACCAAATGGATTTACCAGACGTTTACCTTGAAATGAATTTACTGTAACTCTGTCCTTCAAGAAACTAATCCTTTGTTGTGACCTTAAACTATTCTGTTCTTATCGCCAAGACCTTGCGAAGTATTCAAGGATATCTTTATCTCCTACCGATAACAGACGTTAAATTTCACTTAAACAATCTCTGCATACCAATGATAAAAGCTATATATGCTACTCAAAGTTGCTAAGGATTTCCACTATAAAAGGTAATACATCATATTGTGTGCATCTGTTGAAACAGCCAACGACAATATTGCGTGAAAACATGTTTAATGAGAAAAAGCCCGTTGTCATGTGCCACACAATGCCAACAGACAACAGGTGACCATTGATCAGTCAGATCACCCATTAAAATGAGGAGGTGAGGTGAAATTGGGTTCAACGTCGCGCCCAAGATTATTGCACTTATATAGCGACGTGCATGCAAGTGTGTGTGTGTGTGTGTGGCTGTTTGTACTATTCCTGACTGATGCCGACATTTCGCGGCAATCCATCGGTCTGTCCGCTAGAGTAACTTCCCTTTGTCAAAGGGCCGTCCATGACGACTGCCACAGACCCTACAACTACGGCGACACGTTAATGTATAATAAAATTATCTACTTCGGTGCATGTAATGCGAGAAACGTTATATCCCATTCCATTTTATCTGAAACCATTTACTTACGCTTGTACAACTATTTTGCAGTTAACGCCTCAATCATATTCACTGTTTACATGTACAGGTTCACTTCGATTTTGCACTGATACGTCAAATTTGGAAATGTCATCACATATCTACCATATTTTTTTCTGAAATACGTTCATATATATACTCTTACCGTACAAGGTATTAAGCCAAAACGTTGTGGAGAGAACACTTGGTAATTCTAGTCATCTCAGTTATCGGTACATAGGAAAATTCCGATGTGAAGGTCAGTTACCATCAATAACGCGTATGTCCCCCGTTGGAATCGATAGCGGACTGACATTTCCTGTCCATGGAAGAGACGAATATGCGATTCACATCCTGGTAAATGGTAGCCAACTCGATCTGCAATGCAAAAGCAATGTGTGCGGTTGAGGTGGCTGTGGTCGTCCTTTCACGTAGGTGCCGCAGTCGGATGAAGCGATTTCGGCCAGGGGTGGTGGGCGCTACATTGAAAACCCTGGCTACGGGATTCCCCTGCCTGCAAGCGGCCGATGACGTTGTTTCTTTGCGCTTCTGTTAATCTTGGCATGTTGTTGAACTGTGACTGTTCGATTGACGCAGATGCCAGGCAATCAAAAACCCTTCACTTTAATACCGTTCATAGTACTGCTGCACGTGCAGTGCGTGCAGCTCCGTGGCCCTCTTGTTAATGTACCAGGTGCGTTGTTTTACGAATCATATGTCTTTACGACTAATGGTTTGCATGTCCTTGTTGTGATCATTTGGATCCGGGAAATTTGTCACTGACACTATAACACAATAAACCTCTTCATTTATCAACTCTTGGTCCGCTAATTCTGCTTTTATGGCCAAATATATCCGTGTTGCGTTCCTGTTTTTTGAAGAGTATGTATCCTTATATTAAATGCCTTAAGGCAGATATGAACGCCAACAGGAAATATATAACATTCTTAGCAGGCCGTTGACGTGTTTGGGTTAGTGACAGCGCTTCCCATTCATTCACAATATCATCTTCACCGTGCATTAAATATTATCTGTTAACGGCCAGCAAACTCATCTTCATCGTCATTCACACCCCCTCTTCACAGTCATTCACAACGTCATCTCCGCCGTCCATTCACATCATCTTCACAGTCATTCACAACGCCATCTCCGCCGTCCATTCACAACCTCCCCATCATCATCATTCACATCATCTTCACTTTCTATTCACATCTTCACCGTCCATTAACGACATCACCAAACCGCCATTTGCAGCAGCAACTTCCAAACTGGACTTTAAACACTCTCTTCAGGATTAACTTGCCGTCAAGGACAAGATAATCGTTTCTGTTGTTTATAACATAGGTATTTACATCAACGCCATTCACACTATCAACATGTATAGCATTATTAATTATTTTTTTAATAAAAACAGTTACGTATATTCGTATATGGAATACGTATCGTGAATTAAGGATTGATTTAAAGCACAAACTAGTTCAATCCACATTCGTTCTTCAGTTCACATTTACAGTAAACAAGGGGATCTATCGATTGTCGCAGAGAGACGTACATACGCATTCATTTTCCCGTCAATATATACACTATTGATATTTGTTCTTGCACCTTTTAACCCGCGTACAATGTGGTCTTTATGGATAAACCGAGCAGGTCCATGTTTACCTATGTAACACAAACATATAAAATTTCTCCTACCTACAACAAATTATCTTTGATCTGTAAACATCTATCCAGCAGTGAGGAATCGTACAATGGACTGAAATGTTTGCAGATATTTCTTATGAATATGAAAATGCTTTTGTCGTTAATATTTTCACAATCAAAGCAGCGTTAAACCCAGCTTACTCAATCATAACGTTTTGAGAACTAGACTTGTTTTCACAAAGCAATCTTAGCGCTTTGAGTACTTTAACTCTTCTAACTGTATCAATCCTTACAATCTTCGTAGCATTGTGTCCATCTGAGACCAACCATTTGACATTCTTACAAGTATTTTGCCTGAGGTTCTACCATAAAATGTTGCTACATGCTGGATGTCCCGAAGACATTAATTGTGTACAAGACGAAATAACTTGTTCGGCTCCCCCTTTCAGAGATTTAATATTTGTATGTCTTGAAGTAACTGGTTTTACAAGTAGGTACCCTGTAACCTACTGTGTAGGTTTTTAGTGTAGTTTCTTCTTTGATCAAGGTTCGCCCCATGTTGTATTTCCTTTTAGATCCTTCTATTAATTTTCGTCACTGTTGTGCCTTTTCAGATAGTCGATATGTTGACGTTTTGAATTAATATGCAGCAGTAGTCAAATGTTCAAGGTGTGAATGGGTCATGTGTAGGAATATAAAAATGAAGAACATTCATTGTAGTTCATATTGCAAAGATAACTTTTTCACTTTTTAGTTCAAAGTTCATCATCTATATGAACGTCCAAAGTATCTAACCCCTGAAATGGGTGTTGTTGACAGGTTCTTATAGTTTACGTGTATTTATTATATATAACCTTTGAATGTCACGAATTTGGCTGAAATATTGCCGATGTGACTTTAAATTTTAAACTTTTTAAACCACGGACTTGGTATGTAGGTCCGTGCTGGAACCAATGTGGTGATAAATCCTATTGATGATATCCTTCCATCATTACAGTTACGATAACGTTTCTTAATGATCTACTTTGATCAATGTTTTCCTTATAATGTGTTGGGCAAAATTTACAAAATTCGTCAGTGACGTGTAACGAATGCATATTTCATGTGTACATTCCAGCTGTATAATATTGACAACGTCTACGTTTGCAAGCTCTAGACATTTATTCTTATGTCGTTTGTTCATTTTGTTATCTTTTAATTTGTGAGTTATTGTAATTGAGGTGATTATGAATTACCTAAATCCTATGAAACAGTTTTCTTTATTAATGTACATATATCTCAAGGATAGTTATTCTGCGATACATCCGAGTAAGCACGGCCTTGTTTAGCCAACACGACGCATAGGAGATCCGACCTTTGCCCCTAGAAGAAAACAAAATATAATATAATGGTTTAGGTTACACATTAAAGATATCAATTCAGCGAATCCGATTTATCAATAATAAACACATGCTTTTGGTTCAGCTAAGGTCAATGCTATTCCAAATATTTACTTTCACAATTTGATCAGTCAATAATTATTTATTTGACTACAAAATATAATTTGTTTCCTTATACCTGCCGGTTTCAAGCATCATCGTCGTACACCTGTGGTGATGGCGGGTTGGAATAAGCCCACAACAAGCTTTGCTTATCATGAGAGGCGACAAAATGGTGGTCAAGCTTAGAGACTTGCATATCACGGTATCGCTGCTCATAACATCAAGAGTGAGTGAGTGAGTGAGTGGGTGAGTATGGTTTTTCGCCGCTTTTAGCAATATTCCAGCAATACCACAGCAGGGGACACCAGAAATGGGCTTCACACATTGTACCCATGTCGGGATTCGAACCCGGGTCTTCAGCGTGACGAGGGAAGGCTTTAACCACTAGGCTACCCGACCGCCCCAATAACATAACGACAAACGAGTTCCAATTGTTCAGCACCCTTGTCATTCGGGGTAAAAATATAGGGCCCCAGTTGCCTAAGCCTGTCGTAGAAGGGAACTAAATGGATTGGGTGGTCGGACTCGGTGACGTGGTTGAGTTCATGCCATCGTATCCCAATCGTTGATCAATCATGTAGATCGATTCACATGATGTCACTCACTTGACTGTCTTGTGTCTTGTATAGATTCGATTATGGACAGACCGCCATCCGAGTGTGGCGTTAAACAACAAACAAACAAACAAACAAACAAACAAACAATCGAATTATTCAGGGTAAACCTCGAAAGGAAAAAATCTGTAAAAAAGGTAAATGCTGCTGTATGATGTTTGTAAATATAATACTGTCATTGCTTACCAACATGGATGGCCACCATGGGGTCTTGGTCAGATCCACCGACATGTATAGGGGCATGTCCGTCAGCATCAACGTGCACTGTGTGGCCAGTGCAGTTTCCGTTCTCAAGGTTGCCGGAAATTACATCGCAATAGTCTCCAGACGGAAGTCCAGTGTTGAGTGTCTGTTGGAGATCGGCTCCCTCGAGATTAAAGGCAATAAAGGCCTTGTTCCCTCTCGAGAATGCTATCTGATAGTCTGAACCCGACCACCAGTTAGTCAACTCAGAGCCATAAGCAACGTTCTTGAAGGCAACCATGTTGTACATCGGGCGCCATCGGTGCTCACAAGTCCATCCGTTACCACAGCTCATATCACTGGAATACAGCAAATTGAAAAACGTGAATGGAATCAATGCTTTAATGGTATTCGTATTCGCATTCGCATTCGCCCGTGAAGAGGTCACCCGTTCAATAAGCATACAGGTGTATTACACATTGCGTTATACCAAAGAGTGTGCTCATGTACTGCGGGAACAAGTTTCACTGACAAATATTGAAAACTCTCAACATCCCTTGGCTTATTCATTGACACTGCGTGTACGGATGATAGATCACTGAGAGTACACTCGACGATCCGAGCAACACCGATGCTACTCTGACGTCACGTGGCATAGGGTATGGTGACGTGATTGTACACTTTGTGGTGCAAGATCCCGTTCCACAATACAAGACGTTCGTAGCGCAACGACAGTCGTGAGTCTATGTTAAAGTACGGGAGCTTCTATCGTTTTGTGGAACAGACCTCTGAATTCTAATGTATTGTATACGGTTAGTACTAAAACTATTCACTCGTTTCACAAAACTGGTAGTACACGGGAGCCCGTTTAGTATTCTATATGTCTGTGATGAGAAAAGAAAAACGAGTTCCAACAAAATGGCAAGACAAAATTATTCACAGTAGGATTACAATGGATATGCATATTCTGCCGCTACATTCGTTGTGGGGCATGTATGGCAATAAGCAGATTACCTTCGAAAAAATGTTCAGGAAATAATGTCTCAAGTTACATGAGACTTGATTCAATAATGCCTTAATATAATTGTAGTTTCAAGGATCAATGAAATCTGTGATACTATATTAAACTGTTTTTCAAATCCATTTCAAGAGACTTGAGACGATGACAGCTAGCTGTAACATTATATATAAAATATATGACAGACATAGAGACAGAGCCAGGGAATTGAGAATATGTGAGCAATGTGGTTTAAATGTGATTTAAGATGAGTTTCATTTTCTGTTGGTTTGTCCAAAATACGACCACCTAAGAAGAAAATATATTGATATGCCTTTTTATGTACATCCAAATCAACAAAAAATGATATCGATCATGTCAACAACTGTAAAGATACTCTAAAAATTCTATCAATGTTAATTTATCATGCTTCATTAATTGGAATATGACCTGTTAAACAGGGCCCCGTTCCACAAAGCGATCTTAGCGCTTAGTCGGTCGTAACTCCCATTATTTAACACTGACTTACGACAGTCGGTCGTAACTCCCATTATTTAACACTGACTTTACGACAGTCGTAGCGCAAAGATCCCTTTATGGAACGAGTCCCAGATCTGTAACCACTCCTGAAAACAGAATTGCACAATGGGCCTGATGCCTTTCAGTATGGAATAAACCTTATCCTTATCCTTATCCTATATATAAAATTAATATACAATAAAAGCGACGAATAAAACCTCTTCCATCATCATAAAAAAATCTATGCGAAAAGCAGAGGCCATTGCACGAGTGTACATAAAAGCGGCAAAACATTTCCATAATTATATGCAACAGCTGTACGATTCCGACTATATTACAAACAGTGATGATACAAGGTGTCCGCCACAATGAGAGCGTATTCTGCCCCATCGGTGGCACCCGTCACAAACACACGCAAAGGCAAGTCAGGTGTTCACCTGAACAAACACGTGAACACATGGTACTAGTCAAACTAGGGAATTGCATCGGACATCATTTGTGTCACAGATGCGTCAAATTTGGAAATGTCCTCCACATGTCAACTAAGACATATTCTTGTTGGACCCGTGAATACAGCATTATATGGTCAAACATTAAGCTTCATAGCTTTGATCTTGCAATACATATACCTATTGATAGACACTGATTTGATGGTCATGTCGTTGTTATGAGGAGGTCCCTGATCACTGTCCGTCAGGGGAAAGTCGTATGAGCTCATCACTTTGGCGAAGCCATACGGAAAGGCTAACATGAACGCCGTCGCCATCTTGTAAGCACGGGGTTCAAAGTGGGAGAGGACGTCCCCTGGGGCTCCATGGTCTCCGTGGTCTCTCTGGGTGTCCTGGTTGTCAATGAAGATAATTGTATCGTCAGATCTCATCATCCCTGTTACCAAGTTGATCAACAGTTTCATGGCCTTCTGTTTCCTTGCAGAGAAGAACAAATACACACGGTCAGTGTAAAATAAACATACTTACCACACTTGTTTGTATACAAACGAACGATTCAAGGAAAAATGAATCAAGCACAGTAATTCAAGATTCATGATGATATTCCCTTTATATTGCATCATGTATAATATCAATCTAGCCGTTAATAATCACGCAATATATCTCACAATGTCTGAAGTTCACAAATGAAACTTATAACAACGTCTTTCCTTGCCTGAAAATGAGTACGGTGGCTCATAGTGCATAGTTAACTCGTGTTATATTTAAATTGTTTGAGTGGCGGGTGCTACCGGTAGACCATTGTCCGAACACCAGATCTTCTCAGTTTGGGATTCTAAATTGTCTTCCGTGCACAAAGTTGGATGTCAGGTATTGCTGAATACTCCTACTGGAAGAGCAGGACATGCTTACCCTATTCGCGAATACCTTGTGTCGGCTCTGATTTTCAGTGATCCATTCGTATAATTGTCACCACTATTTTGTCTTTAACCCCCAATGGAATCTATTTTGGCAAATAATCGAGACCGATTACTGCCGTAACTTTTTATATGTAAACATAACCATTGTACGTTGCTACCTGAAGTACTTGGTGATCTCGGCTCCATAGATGAAATTGGTGACTCTCCCGCTACTGAGATACTGGTCTCCCGTGATTGGCTCAGGGACAGCCCTGTCTATTACTTCTTGGAATACGAAGGGCCTCTTGTTGTGACCAAATACCTCGGAACGGAGGTTGTTCACTTGATCCATAATAGCTAAAATGTCCCCTAGAACGAATTGATACCAAACATGCACAGATCTATTACGTCAAGTGAAACGTATGGCATTGAACATTTCCATTGTAATATTCTGGATACGATTAAGTTCACAATAACATATGGGTATTGGACATTTAGGGTTATACTACTTTAACTTTATAACATCAACATTGTCGTAAGAGACGACCACCGGATCGGGTGGTCAGGCTCGCTGACTTGGTTGATGCATGACATCGTATCCCAACTGCGTGGATCGATGTTCATGATGTCAATCACTTGACTGTCTTGCATAGATTCGATTATGTACAGACCGTCGTCACATAACTGGAATATTGCTGATTGCGGCGTTAAACAACCTTTACACAAGAAATAAATAAAAAATCGACACTAAACATTTAAGTGAGTGAGTATAGTTTTACGCCGTTCTTAACAATCACGTTGGGGACACCAGAAATGGGCTTCACATATTGTACCCATGTCGGGAATCGAACCCGGGTCTTCGCCGTGACGAGCGAACGATTTAACCACTAGGCTACCCGACCGCCCCCTAAACACTTAAGGTTATAGAAAGTTTGATAATTATTATGTGCCAAGACGGTCGTCGAACGTACACGTCAATTTTGAAATAAAAAACGAAAGGACAAGGACGGCACGTCTCTACATACCTGGCCACATGTGCTTTGCAGCATCCAGCCGGAAGCCAGCGAACCCCATGTCAATCAGGTGATTCAGATAGGCCACTATCTTGACTCGAACAGAGGTCTTGTCCAGCTGCAGATCTACCAGGTCAAACAGTCTGCAGTTCCGCACCTCTTCAACATTGTTGAAATCGTGGATGCTCATGTCAGGGCTGTGGCACGTAGCGTCGTCGTTGAAGTCGGAGGGGCCAAAGGGCACGCCGGGAAATTGAAGCGCAGTCCCGTTGTACGTACTGCCAGACGTCCCAACTCCAGAACTCGCAGCGCTTGCCATGTGGTTGATCACCGAGTCACCGTATATTCTGTAAGTAATAAGTGTAATCTTGGCTGTAAGGGTAAATGTTGTTTATCGACAGTAAACACTTGAAACATAACACAGCATGGTGACAAAGAAACATCTAGAAAAAAAAGTAATTATCCCACATCGTGTGTGTTCTTTGCTAGACCAAATAAAGCACGCACATATCTTACAGAGAAATTTAGTACAAAGCCTTCAAGTAGTTTCGCAATTCAAATACATATACGTTAGTTGTGATATTCGAAAAGAATATAAGTAAACTACGGTTATAACGAACTCAAAGAGGCCACTAATTTTGGTTCGTTATAACCGTAGTTCGTTATAAGCATATGTATAGCGTATATGCAGCAGTGGCCTGGGCAAACAAATGAGTTCCTTATATTTGTCAGTTCGTTATAAGCGTGTTCGTTATAAACGTAGTTTACTGTATACCTCCTAAAGTTTTCAAAGGAATATTGAGATGCAGGTACCATACTGTCGTAATATTGCATTGCTCACACCCCATTCAACATCAACAATATTTGCTGACAAAACTTACATAAACCTCCAAGAAGATCAGTCTTACTTATGCAGGTTAAAACGTCTTTGCATCCCTGAGATAAAAAAATCTGAAAATATGACATCCTCTCAAATAGGCTGCGAATAGAGAACATAGGGAGATGGACATACTCACTCACTCGACCACTCACTCACTCACTCACTCAGACATTCCTTGCATATTTAAGTAATTAAATTTTTTGACATTTTTCTTTTAACCAATCCCTAATTCTGTGTGGTTTTTGAAGTATACAAATGTGAAAAATGAAACGAACCCTCTCCCTGGGACGATGGTGCCAACAGCCAAAAGCTCACCTGACTCCGACCTTGTTGCACCTGGCTACCATGTCCTTCAGATCCTGCTCTGTGCCACTCCTCGTCTGGAGTTTGAAACTGATAGGCTGGTACCTCTCCCACCATGGCCGCATGGGGTTGTTGATAACTCGATTTTCATGGGGAGGGGAGATCTATTAATAAATAATGATAATGTGCACTTATAAAGCCTCCATGTAGCAGTTAAAGCTCAAAGAGCTACACTATTATTACCCCGAACAATGGATCACTCGACTTTCCTTCTCAGCTCCCTGGGGAGTATAAAACCTAAGCTGCCTGTGAGGCGCTAGAAGGTTAAGAGCCACATTACCATATCATCCTACCGGGTACCCACTCACTGCTGGGTGAACAGAGGCACATTTCGAACAAAGTCACTTGCCCAAGGAGACACCACATGTGGTACATGTGCTGCAGTGTGGGGCAGGACCAAAGCCCTAGAACCTCTCAGGAGTCAAGCTGCTCAACGTGGTCACCCATCCAACTACTCTCCGAGACCGACGTTGCTTAAGTTCACCTGATTTGTGACCTGAATGAATGAGTGAATGTTGTTTTGTGAGAATGGCAGCAGTGTGTTTGCTACCTCACAATGGTCTTTAAATCCTCATCTCCCCGAGGCAAGGGAGTTAACTGACAGTTAAACTCCAGATTCAACCCTTGCCGAACTAGGCTGACAATTATGGGGTTATAGTTTGGCCGGACTTACGAGTCAATGCAAAGTCCAATAAAAATCGCGTAACTAAGTCGACATCCGGTTCGTAACTAACATGGATTTCAACGTTAGGATTTCGGTCGACTGCAGGATTTGCAAAGAGGTGTACCGCCAATTGGGCGTCGACATATATTTTCCAAATCTTTTCATGTTTTTAATCAAGTAGCTCACGTGATTTGATGCGCCTCGCGAAGTAAGACCCGTCTTAATGCAATATATATCTTAATCATCGATCAGATCGTCTTGACTGGGCGCCGCCATTTTGACTGTAGCAAATGCACGTGATATGAGAGGTGGAATCTGATTGGTCAGTGGAAGGGGCATAGAAAGGACATAACTAATAGCCAGTGGTGGCGCTACTATCAAGCCCAGAAATTCCAGCCAAGTGCGGCAAGGGTGGAAACTGGAATTATAAAGTCAGTTAAGACCCTTGCTTCGCGTAGATGGTTAATCCTCGAGGCAAACCAATTGTTGATGGCACGAGGGCACACAAGCAGGCAGGCACTTGGCATGCGTTGGAATGTATAAATGATTTACATAAGGACAAAAGTAGCTTGCATATATTGGCTGACTGTTTGATTGGCATTCTAGAGGAAACTGTTCGTGAGTAAAAAACAAAAACGTAACATCTTCTGGTTGATTGCATATAGCGACGTTTTCGATGTAGATTCTTACACTCTAGCTTGATCATGGTGTAAAAACTACATCGAAACGTCGCTCTATGCAATAAACCAGAAGGTGTTATCCATAAAATTGTACGTTATGTTATATATGTTGGCTGGTTCACTGGGTGTAGATGATTTGGGAAGTTAGGGTAATTTCGGAATTTCATAATTTTAGGATAAAATTAATAAGTATGAAATATGTCGCTTCCTTTTTGCTTCAAAATATCGACAATCAAATAATGAAAGGGGGGATCGTAAAAAAAATATTTTTCTTTCCCTTAGAGGTATGTTTTAATATCAACACATCGTCCACGCACAGTTCTCGGGAACTGTCGAGTTATTTGTTACAGCCTTTCGAGAAAAGAGGATATTAAAAATGCCGATAGGGATTAGGGATGGTGACGATACGATGTATGCTAGAACGGTAAAGTTACGCGGTTTTAAAAGATTTTGTGGAATCATTGCGAGTCAGTGTCTCAACAGCCTGACCAGGAATTGATGTAAAGAAGTTTACGCCACTATGATGTTTTGGTAATTTTCTTTATACTTTTACCATTTTTGACCATATCATATAGTTGGAAGAGTTTTTGTATTGGCTGTCTGTGATTGCTTATGCTCAAAGCATATATATTTCAGTTCAGACACGCAAGTGATGGATACATTAAATCTAAATATATAACGTCAATGCTAGAGGATAACCAGTCTTGCTTATCCTCCGAAACAGATTCCATTTGGCGTAATACTGGTTATTTCTCGGTATATTCTACCAGGGGATATAATTGAGAGGCTGGCAGAGACCTGGCCGAAAAACAGCAATTGTTGCAGTGCAGTTGTTCCTGCAACTGGATATCCCCCGAAGAAAAACATATGGGTATCATCTGATTTACAATACAAACTACTATCGTCAGATAAAAACGTTTCTGATCAATATTCATCAGATTTATCATCAACATAAGGCCATGCTTTGTTAATCTCTTCACTGATCGACATCGAAATAAAATGAATATAAAATGCGCGATTTCTTTATTATCAGCGACAAAAACATTTCCATAATCATCAAAAACCATTGTCAGAGATTCTGACTATAACCTATTCATGTGTTTATGAATCATTATAAAGTGATCATACCGGATGTAAAAGAAATGCATGTCAAGCGGGAGAAATGAAAAGAAAGTTACTGTGCACCCTGATCTGACTTTGATTTTCTAAAAAGGGTCAGATCCTCGGCAGAAAGAAAAGGATAGGAATGAAGGCATATCACTGAACTAAGTTCTGGAAAGACATCAAGTAACGCTAAGCATGTTAATAAAATATCACTAATTCATCTAACTTGATAAAGTATACTCTGACATAACATAAATACGAATAAATACGCAAACCCAGATGTAGCTGCTCCAGCCGAAACGTAAAACATCTAGCTGATTGATTAACAATGTAATATAACTCTATGCTTATGATAAAGAGTAGTTCAACATTCGTGTGTTCGCAAATCAATACCATGAATAGAAATTCAAATTGAAAAATGAACACGAGAGAAATGCATTAACCCAAAGAAATACTAATGAAGCCAATTTCAAGCCCGCTAGTTTCCCCGGTAACCTATAACACAGGACACAAGAATCAAGTGCGTAGGAAAGCCCTAAAAACACATTAGATCTGCAAATAATGATTACAATCAGAAAACAAATGCATCGCGACCATCCGGATATTCTTTTACCTGCCAACCGTGTCATGCTCATAGAAGTTTATCGTGAGAGTTGAGTACAGTTGCAACATGTATATTGCTTGCTAAGCACTCGTATTTAGTTCATATAATTGTACAAAAGACTATGTTTTAGGTGTGGCAAAGATTCAATTCAATAGCGTTATGTTACAGACGAGGTGTGCACAATAGTATACCCGTTGCGATTAATGACAATGTCAACGAATCACTGTTATAAAAGTGTTAGTGGGCAAGGGTACTTCCTGTTGATGAAAAACGATAACAGATGACCACCTGCTGCCTCTCCTTCAAAGTCGATGTTGGATGGGATGCTGTCGTTGTTGTTGGGGGAGATATAGATGACGATATGGAATGTCCTGACCTGGACTAATCAGTGTAACATCATCGAATGTCATGAGAAATGACCTACTAATGTCTCAGTGTTATCGCCAGGACAGATAAAGAATCGATGACATTGATGGATAAATGAAATCAGTTGAGCGTCTACATAAGAGGCACCCAGTGGCAAGATGGTATTGTTGACGATCTGGTGATTGTGGGCATCTTGTCCTGTCAGTGTGTGGAAAATTATATTTACACTCCCGTAGTACTATTTCAGTGTGACCTACATCAAAATTGACACAAGTAATATGGCATTTGATTCCCTTTTCAATGCAAAGAAAAATGGATCTATGGGTTTTGTAGCAATGGTTAATTCGTTAAACCAGTTTTCTTGCCAAATCAGAAACCAGAATTCAAGAATTCAATCAGACGATGAACACGTCTGAATTACGATATCTGTTATAGTTGAACAATCCATTATTGATTTACTCTAGGAATACAATTATATGTACAATATGATTAAAAAAAAAAAAATAATAATAAATGTACTTATATACAACAAATGGCCGGGACTAAATAATACGTTCGTTATATCGACAAGTTCGTTACAAGCGTGTTTGTTATAAATGTAGTTTACTGTATATAATATATTGGTGATTGAATTTCCTATATATAAATAGATACCTGAACACCACAGTACCCGTAGGGCCCAAGGAACCTCTCACATTCGGCAGCAATATCCGCCCAACGCCACTCGAACAGGTGTGTGATGGTGCTTCGCCCCTCGACACAGTTGGGGTCACTGTACATGGACCCGAGGGCTGCAGGGTTTAAAACAGATCTGACCATATAGAAATAAATAACACGCATAGAGATAGTGTCTTGTTTTGTTTCCAACTTTATTTTGTACTTCATTAAGAAAGCCGTGCATTTCATATTGTGTTCGTCGTATAGACTATTTTTTATTAAAGAATTGACTTAAATTATTATATGTCTTCGTTTATAGAGGTATGAACATACAAACCGGTGTGGACACTGTGTAAATCCGCGTATAAAACGTTCCAGTAAGTGTGGACACTGTGTAAATCCGTGTATAAAACGTATGAAACCGATGTGGACACTGTGTACATCCTCGTTTAAATCGTTCCAGCCAGTGTGGACGCTGTGTAAATCCGTGTATAAAACGTATCAAACCGATGTGGACACTGTGTACATCCTCGTTTAAAACGTACCAGCCAGTGTGGACACTGTGTAAATCCGTGTATAAAACGTATTAACAAACCGGTGTAGACACTGTGTAAATCTGTGCATAAAACGTAACAAACCGGTGTAGACACTGTGTAAATCCGTGCATAAAACGTAACAAACCGGTGTAGACACTGTGTAAATCCGTACGTAACAAACCGGTGTGGACACTGTGTAAATCCGTGTATAAAACGTAACAAACCGGTGTGGACACTGTGTAAATCCGTGCATAAAACGTAACAAACCGGTGTAGACACTGTGTACATCCTCGTATAAAACGTACCAGCCAGTGTGGACACTGTGTAAATCCGCGTATAAAACGTATTAACAAACCGGTGTGGACACTGTAAATCCGTGTATAAAACCTTACAAACCGGTGTGGACACTGTGTAAATCCGCGTATAAAACGTAACAAACCGGTGTGGACACTGTGTAAATCCATGTATAAAACGTAACAAACCGGTGTGGACACTGTGTAAATCCATGTATAAAACGTAACAAACCGGTGTGGACACTGTGTAAATCCGTGTATAAAACGTAACAAACCGGTGTGGACACTGTGTAAATCCGTGTATAAAACGTAACAAACCGGTGTGGACACTGTGTAAATCCATGTATAAAACGTAACAAACCGGTGTGGACACTGTGTAAATCTGTGTATAAAACGTAACAAACCGATGTGGACACTGTGTAAATCCATGTATAAAATGTAAAAACCGGTGTGGACACTGTGTACATCCTCGTATAAAACGTACCAGCCAGTGTGGACACTGTGTAAATCCGCGTATAAAACGTATTAACAAACCGGTGTGGACACTGTGTAAATCCGTGTATAAAACGTTACAAACCGGTGTGGACACTGTGTAAATCCATGTATAAAACGTATTAACAAACCGGTGTGGACACTGTGTAAATCCGTGTATAAAACGTAACAAACCGGTGAAGACACTGTGTAAATCCGTGTATAAAACGTACCAGCCAGTGTGGACACTGTGTAAATCCGCGTATAAAACGTATTAACAAACCGGTGTGGACACTGTGTAAATCCGTGTATAAAACGTTACAAACCGGTGTGGACACTGTGTAAATCCGCGTATAAAACGTAACAAACCGGTGTGGACACTGTGTAAATCCATGTATAAAACGTAACAAACCGGTGTGGACACTGTGTAAATCCATGTATAAAACGTAACAAACCGGTGTAGACACTGTGTAAATCCGTGTATAAAACGTACCAGCCAGTGTGGACACTGTGTAAATCCGCGTATAAAACGTATTAACAAACCGGTGTGGACACTGTGTCAATCCGTGTATAAAACGTAACAAACCGGTGTGGACACTGTGTAAGTCCGCGTATAAAACGTAACAAACCGGTGTGGACACTGTGTAAATCCGCGTATAAAACGTATTAACAAACCGGTGTGGACACTGTGTAAATCTGTGTATAAAACGTAACCAGCCAGTGTGGACACTGTGTAAATCCGTGTATAAAATGTAAAAACCGATGTGGACACTGTGTAAATCCGCGTATAAAACGTAAATTAAATACGTCAACAATATTAACTTCATAGACTGCTTATTTAATGATAATTTAATAACAAAAAGATCTGCAGACAACAGAACGAAATCAGTGACATCGTTCAGCGACATAATGCAACACAAGCCCCGCCCATTCTACGGTCAGCCAATCAGGAAACAGTAGTTCGTTAGTGGGAGTGGCGTGTTTTTTTCGGATTCGGTGACTGTAAAGAGCAAATGAAGCGTCTTTGCATTCTGGACCAGACGTGAACAACGATCCAAGAGGTCGGGTTACCCATCATCTATATCTCAAGATCTTGCATTTCGGTAAACCTACACTAATCCCTCGCTCCTCTCCCGTGGTTCTCGCAATTACCCGCCCTAGATTTTCATTAACCAATGTAATTTGCCAAGGTACTCAGTCTAAAGGACCAATTAGAAATCAGCTTTAATGTTGGGTTTGGGATATAAACAACATGATTACGACAGCTTTTGCGAGCAGTTCAACATTGAAAAACCGAAAGGATGTCTTAAATTCGTGCCAAATAAAACTGGCGGTTGCAAATCCCATTTAAGTTTTCCTTATATCGACGTTTGATGGGTCTGTAAAATGATAATAAAATCAAGGGCAGGTAATTTGGGAACCAGGTAAATGGATCCAGGGGTTAGTGTCGGAGGAGGTGAGGTGAGGTGAGGTGAGGTGAGGTGAGGTGAGGTGAGGTGAGGTGAAATGGGGTTTAACGTCGCGTCCAAGATTATTGCACTTACATAGCGACGTGCATGTACGTGTGTGTGTGTGGCTGCCTGTACTAGTCCGGACTGATGCCGATTTATAGTGCTAGCTCACTGAGATACCATGCCGCAGTTTAACATGAATACCCCACTCAGACACAGTATACTGACTCCGAGCCGACCAGTCCTTGTTTTAGCCCCTTAATGCCGAGCGACAGACAGGGTAACAAAAAGTACCATCTTTTAACGTCTTTAACGAACCCCGGACCTTACGCTCTCCGGGCGGACTCTCTACCACTAGACCACGGAGGCGGTCTGGATGTCGGAGGACATTGAAAAGCTGTCAACTAAGTCACCGAGCCTGCCCACCCAATCCACTTGGTTACTTGAACCTGTATGTATTCCAGGGCCCCGTTCAACAAAGCAATCTTAGCGCTACGATTGTCGTAAGTCTATGTTAAAGTATGGAAGTGAGTTAATATTTAAAGTCACATCGGCAATATTTCAGCCATATAGTGACTAAAGTATGGACGTAATGATCACCTTAGCGCTGTGATCGCTTTGTGGAACGGAGCCTAGGGTGGGTTAGGCGTCATTGGACTGGTAATAATGCCATAGATACGATGAAGTCGTGCAGTACGTATCAACACAGAGGTGTTCTAGTAGTGATGAGCATTTTGTGAACTTTTGGTGACAAATCTGGTGTAATTTATTGTACTTCAAACCAGCTTGCGTAATGTTAACTTCTCAAGCTTCTTGTTTCAGTGTGCAAATTCGCTTACCCGTGTGCAAGATGAACGTCAGGAACCAGATGGTGGCCATGACAGCAGACACTAACCGCTTAGATAACGGAACTGCCTTATATAAACGGCTATATGTGACATAAATACACATACTGACACGACTGGGGTCGTGTCTTTCAATGTTATATATCTTGAACCCGAAAATAACATTTCTGGCATAACGTGATTTTTTAATACAAATGATAAATTCTGACCAACCAACCAGATTGTGAACCAACCAGATAGTACGTCTACGCTACGCCCTTTCTGCGCTATATAGGTGCAGTTATCTCGAACGTGGCTCTGTATCAGCAGTTGTCATGTGTGTATGTAAACATGTGTCATGGGTGTACATAAACAGTTTGACATGGATGTATATTCAAATGTTTTTATTGGCTCATATTACCATTTGACACGGGTATACATTAAAATATTGTCATGGGGCATATTAACATTAGACATGATGTATAAAGACATTTTTCATGACGCATATAAACATTTTTCATGATGCTTGGGGACATTTGTCATGATGTATATGGACATTTGTCATGATGTATATGGACATTTGTCATGATGTATATGGACATGTGTCATGATGTATATGGACATTTGTCATGGGTCTACATTAACTTGTCATAGAAGCAATTAATCAGCGGTATGGTATTTCAGTAAACTAACTATAAAACGGGCATAAGTCTCTAGTACAAGCAGCCACACACACACGTGTATACACGTCACTGTGTAAAATCTTGACCGCGACGTTAAACCCACCTCACCACTTGAAGAGCGATATTAAACCCAACTTACACACTAAAAAGAACATAAAGTATTCTTTAATACCATACACCGTCTACTCGTCCATATGGTGTAACCTTTCTCTGTTTTCGCCAATAACAATACCAATATCCCTTGATGGGAAAATGTCAATAAGGGATCAAAATATGACGTTATCATTATCGTGCAGGTGAGGTGAGGTGAAATGGGGTTTAACGTCGCGTCCAAGATTATTGCACTTATATAGCGACGTGTGGCTGCTTGTACTAGTCCGGACTGATGCCGATTTATAGTGCTAGCTCACTGAGATACCATGCCGCAGTTTAACATGAATACCCCACTCAGACACAGTATACTGACTCCGAGCCGACCAGTCCTTGTTTTAGCCCCTTAATGCCGAGCGCCAGACAAGGTAACAACAAGTACCATCTTTTAATGTCTTTTTGTATGACGCGGTCGGGGATCGAACCCCGGACCTTCCGCTCTCCTGGCGGACGCTTTACCACTAGACCACGGAGGCGGTCTTATTGTGCAGGAGTAGGGCTTTACCTAAAGTAATGCTCTATAAACAAGTTGATATATTGACCTTGTCTTGTTCCAGCAGTTGAGTCACAAGCTGTGTGCCTTTGTCCAACACTGTAGCGACCATGCAGTGTTGTATCAAGTTGATCTGATGTTAAGCTACAATGAGGTTTTAATGATACATCTACAGATCGTTATGAATATTGCAAGTATTGATGACAGTGCAGAGTCTTTTTGTGAAATAGGACATAACAATGAACAAACAACAAGGGACACTACAACGGCCTCATTTCCGGCTAGCACATGCTGATTGTGAACTTGTCTTTCTCATTATGGCGTATTTATCCTATAACCCGATGAAGACGATAGATAGATGGTTAGATTGTGTCCCCCGCTGTGGTCGACAATATGAAATCGCGTTGTTGGCCATGCTTCGAAATCAGGGAACTATTTTTCACTTTTTACTTTCACAATCATGTAGGTTTTGTTATGGGTGTATGCAAATATTTGTCATGGGTGAATATAAACAGTTGGCATTGTTATATATGAGCATTTGGTATGGTGTGTGTAAACATTTGTCATGGGTATATATGAACAGATGCCTGGGTATATATTAGCATTTGTCATGGGTGTGTGTAAACATTTGTCATGGGTATATATGAACAGTTGGCATGGGTATATATTAGCATTTGTCATGGGTGTGTGTAAACATTTGTTATAGGTATATATGAACAGTTGTCATTGGTATATATTAGCTAATGTCGTGGGTGTGTGTAAACATTTGTCATGGGTATATATGAACAGTTGGCATGGGTATATATTAGCATTTGTCATGGGTGTGTGTAAACATTTGTTATATGTATAAATGAACAGTTGTCATGGGTATATATTAGCATTTGTCATGGGTGTGTGTAAATATTTGTCATGGGTATATATGAACAGTTGTCATGGGTATATTTGAACAGTTGTCATTGGTATATATTAGCTTTTGTCATGGGTGTGTGTAAACATTTATCATGGGTATATATGAACAGTTGTCATGGGTATATATGAACAGTTGTCATTGGTATATATTAGCTTTTGTCATGGGTGTGTGTAAACATTTGTCATGGGTATATATGAACAGTTGTCATTGGTATATATTAGCTTTTGTCATGGGTGTGTGTAAACATTTGTCATGGGTATATATAAACAGTTGTCATTGGTATATATGAACAGTTGTCATGGGTATATATTAGCATTTGTCATGGGTGTGTGTAAACATTTGTCATGGGTATATATAAACAGTTGTCATGGGTATATATGAACAGTTGTCATGGGTATATATTAGCATTTGTCATGGGTGTGTGTAAACATTTGTCATGGGTATATATAAACAGTTGTCATGGGTATATATGAACAGTTGTCTTGGGTATATATTAGCATTTGTCATGGGTGTGTGTAAACTTTTGTCATGGGTATATATTAGCATTTGTCATTGGTGTGTGTAAACATTTGTCATGGGTATATATAAACAGTTGTCATTGGTATATATTAGCAATTGTTATGGGTGTGTGTAAACATTTGTCATGGGTATATATAAACAGTTGGCATTGTTATATATTAGCATTGGTCATGGGTGTGTGTAAACATTTGTTATAGGTATATATGAACAGTTGTAATGGGTATATATTAGCATTTGTCATGGTTGTGTGTAAACATTTGTTATAGGTATATATGAACAGTTGGCATGGTTATATATTAGCATTTTGCATGGGTGTGTGTAAATATTTGTCATGGGTACATATGAACAGTTTTCATGGGTATATATTAGCATTTGTCATGGGTGTGTGTAAACATTTGTCATGGGTATAATGAACAGTTGTCATGGGTATATATTAGCATTTGTCATGGGTGTGTGTAAACATTTGTCATGGGAATATATGAACAGGTATCAAGGGTATACATTGTTATATGGTAGTGTATTGTGATTATGAGTTTAACTGTATTGTATTGTTTCTGTTCATATTCAGTAGAAGCTCATTGCATTGTTTTGGGACAGCGATATATTGTCGGGAATGAAGTACTATTAAAGTAAGCATTGGTGATGACGTTATTATATTTAGATGCTTAAATTATCTGTAAACTTTCGGAATTCCATTGCTCTCACGTTATATACTGCCATTGACTGTTCTTCTTCCGCTCTATTGTGTACTGCAATAATTGCTGTGCAGTTATTTGTATTGATTTGTAAACCTAGTTAATTTGGTAGTACAACGTTGATTGTATACCATGTGTTGTTCTTTTGTTGGTTTCACGCCAAATTCTTTTACGTACCAATTTCTGGGCTAAAATATTACTTCAATTTGGGAATCGACACATAACAATATGAACATTTGCCACGGGTGTACATAGACATTTCTCATTAGTATATATGAACGTTTGTTATAGGTATATACGGACGTGGTCATGGGTGTACATGGACATTTTCCATGGCTATACATGTATATTGACCGTTGTCATATATATACATTGTCATATTTGACATCTTGGGTGTACATTACAAATTGTCATGGGTGTATATTAACAATTGCCGCGAGTATTAACATTTGTCATGGGGTCATATTAACATTTGTCATGGGTCTTTATGAACAACTGCCATGCGTGCATACGAACATTTGTCATGGATATACACTCTTCAAAAAAAGAAACGCACAGGTAGTATGTAGTTCATTAAGCCTGACTACACAAAAAATCCGGTATTTAAATTGGATATATATTATTGGAAAATGTTGGTGGTATGATATTCGACAAACGGTGAGTCAAAACGCAGCCATTGTCGATTTACATTGTCTTAAACGGCAACTTTTTCACATTTGTTTAAAAATATCATTGATAAAAATAGTAAAGCAAAATGCACGTGCAAGTTATGGCACTCGTAACTCGTGGTAGTGGCTATAAAAAGGCAACCATGAGCCAATAATTTGTCATTCAATTGTCAAGTGAGTGAGTATGATTTTACGCAGCCTTTAGCAATATTCCAGCAATATCATGGGGAGGACACCAGAAATGGGCTTCACACATTGTAACCGAGTCGGGAATCGAACCCGGGTCGTCGGCGTGACGAGCTTTAACCACTAGTCTACCCGACCGCCCCTCAATTGTCAACATTTTTCAAGTTCGAAAATGCCGAGACTCAGCGCTACCGATCGGAAAATCCAACGGATGTTGGATAGGACGTATCCAAAGAGGAGAATCACAGTCTTCTGTTGCACGACACTTCAACGTGGGATCGATACACGCAGTTCAATTCCACTGCAAACCGTCCGAGAACCGGTCGACCAAGAGTAACCACCCCTGCACAGGATCTCTACATTCGACTGTTCCGCCTACGTCATCGCAATGACACAGCTACGGAGACTGCGGGACACATCCCTGGTTTGAGGAGGATTCCGGACCAGACTGTCAGGAACCATCTTCGCGAGGCTGGAATAGGAATCAGAAGACCAATTATCGTCCTTGTTTTGAACCAGATCCATCGACAGCGACGCTTGCGTTGGTGCCAATACCTTACAGCCTTGGAATTTGAGAAACTGGAGACGCGAGTGTGGTTCTTCACCGGCGAGATTGAAGACTTAGTGTTTATCTTCGTCGAAATGAACGTTTAGCCCCCCATTGTGTACGTGAATTCAGCAATTTCGGTGGCAGTAGTGTCATAGTGTGTGGGGGGTGGGGTTGGGCGGGGTGCGGTGGGGTGTGTGTGTGGGATGGGGGGTGGGGGGTGGGGGGTGGGGCATATCCTACGCCACGAGATCTGACTTTGTTGTGGTCCAGGGAATCGCTACATGATTCAAATTCTTCAACCTCACCTTCTTCCAATCATTGACCGCCAGAGGGAGCTGTTTCATCAGGACAACGCTTCACCACACACAGCTCGTGTCACGGTAGACTAACTTCATAATGCCAACATCAACGTTTTGCCCTGGCCGTCGAGATTTAAAGATCTCAACCCAATCGTACATAAACTGTATAACGTCGGAGCTTGCGACGACGTTCATACAATGTTTGGCCCTCACTCTATGAAGGTTCATACTCCAATGAACTCACACAAAGTGAAAGTCATTTCTTAATATTTTTTTAATTTGACGTTTACACGATATACGGCTTTTCGATTGGACGAGAGGTCGGTCACATGACCGCGAAATTGACGTTCATAAGTGTATGAACGACACAATTTGACGTTCATACGTTTTTCACGAGACCGTGTACCTACACTGACGGACTACTTCCACATTCCTGGGAAAACCCCTGGGAATTCCCTAGCACGAAAACATACATACGCATTATTTCTGATCATTTAGAACCTTTAATCTTGGTCTCAGCATTTCAGTATACATTGATAAACGTAAGAGAGCTTGACTGCATTATTGTTCACGAATTTCCTCGCTACGGCCAATCCTAATGAACAAACGAAAAAATGCACATCCAAACTATCGTCAATATCGATTCGATCTGTGTCTAGGCTGACAGTGACCGTCTCAAGCAATCTACGAATTTACCTAGGTGTCTGTTTGACGCATCTTTAATCACCTGTCAATAATCGGTCAGTTGATCAATGATGACTAACACATGTAACCGCCACAGGTTCATTAACAACTTCGGAAATCTCTCCCGTCACGTTTATCGTATCGGCCATTTTGACGTCTTGTACTTGATGTAAATGTATTACGACGCGCTGTCATTGTGCCTGACTTACTAAGGTAGTTCTTTACAGACCTTTCTCATCTGATGAGGATATAATTTGAACAAATCTGCTGCGTAAGATGTTTCTGAAGAGCAAGTTGTGCATCCATACGCCCATGTCACCTCTCTTTTTGAGGAACTATTTTAATCCGCGATATAGCTGGTTGTTGTTTGGCTGTCAGTGTAAACATGAAGTCACACGTGCTAAATAAAATTGTGTTTAGATCTTTGCCTACATCCTTTGAGGTAAGAAATTGTGATAACAAATTATAAGAATTGACTTTCACTTTGTGTGAGTTCATTGGAGTATGAACTTTCATAGAGTGTATGAACGTCAATTTCGCGGTCATGTGACCGACCTCTTGTCCAATGAAAAAGCCGTATATCGTGTAAACGTCAAATTAAAACATTATAAAAAATTCAACGTCATAGAACATAATATATGTTGACGGTACAGACTGGAAACGTGACGCCAATGACGTCACAATACAATAAAACAGATGGCAGCCCCACGGTGGAGAAATGCGGGCAATTGTTGCAATTGCAATGGTTCGCAGATTTATGATTACATGCGGTCATTTTTATAATAATTCTGTCCATTTTAGCTGAGACTGTTTACAAACTGAAAAAGTTGTAAGACAAATTTTATTATGATAAATCGAATATCTCATCTTTTGATATCAAATATATCAACACTGGTCAATTAAAGTTTAAAACACTTCGGCAAGCAAGCATATTTTAAGCTTACATCGATTCGTGTTGATATATTTGTCTTGATATCAAATGACACTTAGGTGAGATTCCCAATTTATTTCTAAATCACCTCATTAACTCAGGCGGCAGAGAACATATCTTATTCTACAGTGCCCCTTGAAAAAGAGTAGTCTATGTAAGATTGGCTCCATACTGTCCTGGAGCGAAATCGTTGTGTGCAAATAATTGGCATTCCTATTCCTGTTTGAGAATAAGAGACCGTTCTATTTGTCTGGCGCAACATATACTAATAACCAGTTTATATTTCTGGTACGAGTTACCCACCTTTGCCGCTAGAGCGCACTGACTGTATCCGGCGCGGAATAGCTGCTAAGGAAAACAAATCTAAACACGTTTGAAATGACACTAAAGATGCAGAACTACATGGAAAAACATAAGATAGGTCCTCTATTTGAGGTAAATAATAACAGACAATTATACAATTAGAAAGGTTTATCATGTCACGAGTGCAGTAACTAAATGCATTAGCTTTTAGCAATCTGTGTCAGATTGTGTTTGTGTACTATTTCGACAAGCCTGTTCTAATAATCGTAACAGAACATTTCTGACATTTTTATCTTCGTTTCGGTATGTGTGCATACGTGTGTGACTAGATGTGTGCATACGTATGTGACTAGAAATAATAAAATAATAAAGTGTTTTCGGTATTCATGTCATTGGTGGTCTTATTGTCTAACTAACAGATCTTAGCCATCTAATAATATTTGGTAAAATCAGTTAAATTTCCGCCGCTTTTTGTCCTTTTCTTGCTGCATATTTATTGTCACGATCTGTTGTACAGGACCTAATGAACAAAGTCTTACGAGACATGCCAGAGGATCCCCTCATCTATATCCTGAGGGCAGTTTACAAGAAGGCTGGAGTAGAAATTCCACAGGTACGTACCAGTGAACTAAATTTCTATACATAACAACTTATTTGTTGTTTGTAAACTAAGGGTTTTTCGTATAGTAGTGTGGGGGCCGCTGTAGAATATGTTTGCTACTATTATTTAAGAATTCCTAGCACAACTTACTATGTATTACATATTTGTTTTCTTACAACATATCCAGTTTTAATCATGCTGGTAGGCAAACAGATTCTATGATTGCGCCTTGGTAAAAAGGAAGTGCAAGACTGTGATTGTAAAGACATTTCATTTTCACCACTGTATGTCTGAGACTTCTGTGCGGAATTGGGTTAGATTTATAGGTGTCAGGCATATCTTGTAAGACTGAGAAGCAGTTAAAGGGGCAGTGCATAGACAGTTCTGGGTGTTTTTAAATCATACATGAAATAATTATCGGTTGTCACATTACACCTTTAGTTCATGCTTAATCCAAAATAATTGAGCTTTGCACAGCAAAGCCAACAACGCAAGCGCTGTGCAGTGTAGACTGGCTTCAGCATTGTGTTCAGCATGATCAGTCATGTGTTAAAATTTTATTTGAGGCAAATTGAAGAGAAAGCTCTAACAGACGAGTTACAAAATCCTTATTGCCAATTTGATTGTATTAGACATGTTAGAAGCCAGTGTTTATCAAAGCCTAGATTACGATATGAATGCATCAGTCGTATGAAGCCAATCTCCTACCCAGAGTTCCTTGTGGCCGGCCTAGTACCTCTGCCCACATTGTCACATCTTACCCATCCCATCCAGATATGGCATATATTTTTCATATATTTCTTACAAGTCTACACATTTAGATAAACATATGACATAAAATGTTTTACTTTCATTGAGAAAATATCCTAAAATGTGAAAAAATTATTTCCGTTTGCATATTTGTCTTTTGTTTACATTGGTTGTACATTGCCCAAAGGTGCTTTGTGTAAGGCTCTCTTGTCATGCACCTCACTGTCACAGTTGGTGTAGCATATCTATAGGATTATGCAAAAACAATACTGGTATGTAAAGTGCACTAGGCCAGTCTGTTTTAAGAATAAGTAAGTGTGTTTAAAAACTAGAGAAAAGTCCAGTCATGTGATAAGCCTACACCAACGATGTGGTCACTGGAACAGAACTTTCCCTCGCGGGATAAGGAGAGCAGAGCCGAGTAAGCTCGTGGGTTATCAGCTATTGTTTGTAAACATTGCTTCAGATCAGTTGACTTCAGCCCTTTTAGTGAGATGAGGTTGTCGGGCATTGTACCATGGTTGATTGTGTGTCATCATTCCCCAACAACCTGAAACATTGCTTCGAATATCAGACACTGGTTTGTCAGATCCAGGCTCAATTATTTACAGATAGTGCAGGCAAATCAAAACACACAAACTTTAACAAATATGAGCCCAAGAGCGCTTAGAATGTGGGGAATATCGTTTCTTTAAATGACATTTTAGAAATTGTAGTGTCAATGAAGATGATTTGATGTATGGATGTTGGTTTGTTTTGTCTTTCAATGTGATGTTTAGCTACAAATTCCAGTACCTTTGAATGACTGAGTATGATGACTGCTGTTTAATTCCAGGACATCAGGTATGGCGGTATGAGGAGAAGTGCTTCAGACATGAGTGAGTAGAATCATAGTGAGAAACCAAAATACATTTGTGAACTGACACCTTGAAATTGTTTAAATCGCAAAACATTATACTCTGTGATTTAGTGCATAAAGCATCTGCCTGGAGAGCAGAAAGTTGGTGGTTTGATCAACGGACACTATATACCAAAATAACCCATGAAGATCCGTGTAGAATAGGTCTTCAGCAACCCATTCTTGCCGTAAAAGTTGACTATACTTGTCGTAAGAGGCGACTAACAGGATCTAGTGGTCAGATTCGCCGACTTCGTTGATGCATGTCATCATATCCCAATGGCGTGGATCGGTGCTCTTGATGTCAATCACTAGATTGTCTGGTCTAGGCTTGATTATTTAGAGACCCCCTGTCATATAGCTAGAATATTGCTGAGTGGGATGTTAAACCAAAAAAAACAAACAAACAATATACCAAAAGACATTAAAAGATGGTACTTGTTGTTACCTTGCCAAGGGGATAAAATGAAGACTGGTAGTCTTGGAGTCAGTATACTGTGTCCAAATAGGATGTCCCTGTTAAACTGCAGCATGGCATCTAAGGATAGCACCATGAAACTAGCAGCATTATTTTGGGAGTAGTACATAGAAGCACCTCTCACCACGCACACACGCGTGCATGCACCTCACCATATAAGTGCTATATTCTTAAATGTGACGTTAAACCCTATTTCAACTCACCACAACCAACTTCGACAATTTCAATCTGAACTCAGAGTTTGGTTCATGATAAAAGCTGTTTTGTAACAGTCTGAGATAACCATTAACAACTGCAAGTTCAGGGCTCGATTTAGCTACATCATTTAACTTGCACCAGGTGCACGTTGACATGAAAACCTTGTTGCACCAGGTTGCACCCTGGTCCCACAAATTTATCAAAGTTGAAACATAGGCTGGTCTACTGCCAATGTCACATAAATTGATGATGTATTGTTGTAAAACGTAGCAGGAACATGTGCAAATAATCTTGAAGTATCCATAGTTTGATGATGTCAGGCCCACTAAAGCATTACAAAATACCCATACACAGAGATGAATGATTAGATATGTGTTCAGAAATTGATTTTGTGTTGACAAGCAAGAGTTAGACAAACACAGATTTTCAAATCTTTTTACATGCGCTTAGTGCATGTTGATATGAATATTAGGTTGCAATTTTCATTAATAGGTTGCACTAGTGCATGTTTTATATAAGTAAATCAAGCCCTGGAGTGTGCACTTGTCTGTCAGATAGGTAATGTGATGAGATAAGCTGACTAGATGGAGGAAATAACTGTCGGATGTGTTATTAATGTGTTCATGTTATCTTCCTTCAGCACGTGGAAGAAGTAGGAGTCCCGAGAAACTGCCCGTGTCCAGCAGCGCAGGTTAGCTTTCTTCTTTGTCTCTTTTCTAACTGGGGCGGTCGGGTAGCCTAGTGGTTAAAGTGTTCGCTCGTCAAGCCGAAGATCTGGGTTCGATTCCCGACATGGGTACAATGTGTGAAGCCCATTTCTGGTGTCCCCCCACCGGGATATTGCTGGAATATTGCTAAAAGCGGCGTAAAACCATACTCAGTCATTCAGTCAGTCTTTTCTAACTTCATGTACTCACATAATTAGAGATTTTTAGTTGAGTGTTTTTGTATCATAAATATCATATATTTGGAATAAAAATTGAGTTATGCAAACCTTTTTTGTAGATGCAGCATTAGGAACTCGGGACTATGACCGACCATGGAAGTCGCAGGCCAAGAGACTCAAGCCGAAGAAGTCTTCAGATGATGCAGAGCTGTCAAGATGTAAGAACTGATAAATGTCAGCATCTTAAGGAATATTAATGATGCCTTCAATGTGAAAATATTGGCTGTGTTGATGGCTCCCTTATATTAAGATTATTCTTTATACCCGGTACATATGTTTGTGGTAAGAAAATAAGATGTAAATTTTAAATGATCACTTTGTTGAAAAGAAACCAGCTCAATTGATGTTAACATGTTCATGGTATCTGTGGGTCTTTCAGCAGGGTCTCTCGTCCTCTAGAACACAGATATGTAGACACTTATCCGTATTCTTATCTACACATCACCACCTGTCTTTTGTGAAAGGTATTCCTTGTGACAGTGTATTGTTACACTTACAGCAGAGTGCAAAATCAACAACACCGGAAGTTCTTGTTCAATCTCCAACATCATCATCATCATCATCATCAACGTACAGCTTTAATATTTCGGTTTAAGGCAACTCGTTTCTACTTGTACTACTTCTTGTCAGCATCCCTCTGTCATCAGGCTTGATTACCCTGTATATTATGATACATTCCCTCGACCCATTTGTCACCATGGATTCATTTTGGAAGTGACATCACCATGACCATCATTCTTTATGCACAAAATATCAATCATTAATGAGCTTAAATCAAACAACCATTCAAAAAAACGGAACAAAAATTCTGTATTTATTGAAAGTATTTATGGCAACCTTGGATGAGAGTAAAGGAGTTTACAAGGAATCAAGAGACTGTTATTCAGAGCTCCAGATAAGCTTTTGCCCGTTTATAATTTCAAAATAAGTTGCTGATTTGCTAATTGAATACGCTGGTTACTTCACAATATTTTGATGATACTCACAAGTTTTATTTTTGTAGCGTATCTGTAATGTTTGTTGCGTATTTGATATGCTTGGATTTTACTTTACTGCATATTTCTGCATTTCTGATGCGTATTTCACGCAGATACGCAGCTTATATGTAGCTCTGGTTATTATAGTAATAACTGAACCTTTAGATGGAAAATATGTTTCTAAGTAGCAGCATGATTAAGACATGGGGAGGTAAGTCAGCATGCTACCAGGTGTTCCCAGGTTTATTTGAAACACAAGTCAATTCAAATACAATGGAATCGTAGCTTTTTTCCACAACGGTGTAATTTCATTTAGCCACTGTTTGTGTCACCTTATTCCAAACAGATTCAAATGATACAATAGTGGTTAAAGGGTCCAGGGTGTATATCATGATTGGATGGAGATATTATACCCTGGATAGTCGAGGATGCTCTGTGATCAACACTTTACAATTACTCATATTTCAGCTCAGAGCTCCAGGCTGCACTCTGCCTCCTCTCTCAGTGACAAAACTGTAGAGGACTTGCTTAAAGTGACCCCGGTCAAACTGGGCAGGTGTTATTCTGTTATCAGCATGTCTTAGGTCTGCCTGGACACTGGTCAAGGAAATAGTGCCCGATATTGGTGCATGGTGGCAGTTCCTACTAATATCTATATGGTGGAAGGCTTGCTTCAGTGCAGCATGAAGACCAGTCAGTGTCCTAATACCTCACCCAATATGATCTCGCATAGCCAGTCCATTTCCAAAGATGCCAGCCATTCTGACATGACATAATCATGACAGTATTTTTGACCAAATAGCACCAATACGATTAAGAAAAATATATTATATATATTGTAAAAATATATTGCCAATAATTCTGACTAGTTATTGACTTTGCTACAGGCACTGACACATATGCCGGCAATAAATGGTCAGTGTGATCACTTGTTTTTGATGGGAAGGTTGAAGGATTTAGAGGAGCCTTGGTGGTTACGTGAAATGCCAGAAATACCATACAATCAGTCATGCTAATTACTAATTTTTTATCTCAATTATCCTAAATATTCCTAATTCCCTCAATTTGGGTTTGAAATCTCAGCATTGACAGCCTTCGACATACACTCTGGTCTATCAGCACGAGACTGCTAAATTGTGCTGAGGGCAATAAAAATCCAGTGATGGTAGTCCTCATCGACTATAGCATTTGAGGGCTATAATTCTGAAGCAGTCACAGTGCTTCAAGCTTGCTACAAATTGGATCTGAATGAAACTGACAGAATATGTAAACATTTTTGTCTTGTTCAAGCAAGACTAGCTACAAACTCTTGAGGGAGGACTAAAAGATATACACTCGTCTTGGTTGAGACTGGATTAGGGCATGGGGTGCTTGTTGGTCGTTGAACCTAGTGCTTCAACTGCCAATAGTACATAGAAATCAGTCTGATGATTGCATGCATGTGGACATGAGTGTTGGTTGGAGTGTATGAAATGAGTGTCAGAAATGTCCTTCACAAGAGTGAAAGAAAAACAATTATTTGGACACAATTTTTGCCCTCCAAATGAAATAATATCTTTATATCCCTACATCATACTTTGCTGCAGTGAACAAGGGATGTCTTCTGTAATTAGAACTGTATCAAGCATGTTGAGAAGCGTCTTCCCAAGGCAAGGGAGTTAACTGCCTATAACAGTCCAGTTTCTACCATTACCGAACTAGTCAGATAACTCCCTTGCCTTGGGAAGATGGTGGAAAAGCCCATGTTATGACATCTGTGCAGTAGAGAGTCAACTTTCCGAGGCAAGTGAGTTAACTGACTATAAAAGTCCAGTTTCCACCCTTGCCGAACTAGGCTGGTATTATGGAGTTACATTTTGGCTGCACTAACGAGTCTGTGCATAGTCCATTCAAAATTGCACACTGAAATCGAAATCCGGTTCGTAAAGTGTCATGCAGATTTCGGTCGACTGCAGGATTTGCAAAGCATGTGAACCGCTAACTTGTTGTCAATAGATATTTTCTAAATCTTTTCATGCTTTTAATCAAGGTGCTCATGTGATTTGATGCACCTCGCGATGTAAGACTCGTTTTATCACAATATAGATCTGGATTATCAATCAGATCGTCTTGACTGGGCGCCACTCTTTTGTTTGAAGCAAATGCAAGTGACACGAGAGGTTGAATCTGATTGGTCAATAGGAGAGGCATAGAAGGGACATAACTAGTAAGAGCCACTGGTGGCGCTACGATCGAGCCCAGGAATTCCAGCCTAGTTCGGCAAGGGTGGAAACTGGACTTTTAAAGTCAGTTAACTCTCTTGCCTCGGGAAGATGTAGAGAATGTGCTTCACATAGATTGATATTACGTATAATTAACTTGCTTGTCTTAAACCATATAATTATGTCATATTGATAACAATAAGCCATGTCTACCTCTACTGCCACACATAGAAGGACATAAGCTGGGAATAGTGTTTTTTGGAAGGTTTCTTAATGACAAATTATAACTTCAGGTAAACTCTTTAAGATATTGAATAGTTGGTGAAGGAAGACAATATTTTCCATGTGAGCATTTAGTGACGGAACATTTATGAAAATTGTGACTAATTTGTGAATGTTTTGGGTTATTTCTGAAATCATTGAGTGAAATAAGTCAAATAAGTGAAATAACGACAAAGTTTTTAGGAATGATATTTTTCAAATGAATATTTATCTATTTGAGATGGGGAGGAAGGTTTATAGGTTATAGCACAAGAGATAGAAAAATTAAACTAGTTTGTCAGTAGTAGTGTAACGATATGGCGATGCAGTATTGTATCCAGATACAAGGCGCACAATACAATACATCGATTTACAATCCCTGTATCATGATTTTATTAAAGTTATTTTGGTGTAAAAACATGAATAATAACATTTAAAATGCTAAACGAAACTGTTCATCAACCATCTTATGCAGATTCTCTTGTATTTCCTGGTTGGCTATAAATACAAGGCTCGATTAAAGGAAGTTGATGTAACTTGAACCATGTGCATTTTGACATAAAAACCAAGTTGCACCAAATAAAACCAGGCTGCACCAAATAAAACCAAGTTGCACCAAATAAAACAAGGTTGCACCCTGATCCCATAAATCTATCAAAGTTGAAACACAGCCTGTCTTCCGCCAGTGTCACATAAATTAACGAAGCATTGCTTTAAAACAGAAACAGGAACATGTGCATATTATCTTAAAGTACCCACAGTTTGATGACATCAAGACAGTATGACAAATTACACATAACACAGGTATTGGTGTGTTAGTATGTTAAATAAACCTGAGGGGTATTGGGTGTGTTCAAAGATCGATTTTGTGTGGGGACAAGTTAGGCTTACTCAGACACAAATTTGTATATGTTTTACCTGCGCCTTATGCATGTAAACATAAATATTAGGTATATTTTTGAATAATAGGTTGCACTGGTACATGTTTTATAAAACTCACTCAAGCCCTAAAATAGCATGACATTCACAGAACCCTCCAGCCTACATGTGTCAGCCCGACTATTGCCCATTATCCCTGAAATTTGGGGCAGTCGGGTAGCCTAGTGGTTAAAGCGTTCGCTCATCACACCGAATACCCGGGTTCGATTTCCGACATGGGTACAATGTGTGAGGCCCATTACTGGTGTACCCCAACGTGATATTGCTGGAATATTGCTAAAAGCGGCGTAAAACCATACTCACTCACTCACTAACTATCCCTGAAATTTAAAAACAAATGATTCAGGGTTGTGATTCCCCTGCAAAAAGAAAGAATATCAACTTATGAAATAATATACTGGTTTGGGATCTAAATCAAATCGCAACCATAGTATTGGGATATACATCATATTGACCCTACCGTAGTGTTACTCCTGTGCCATTTGGCTACTCAGAGTGACATTGTGACAAAGACACATTGTGGAAAATGACATGGGTGGTTATAAGAAATAAAAGACTTGTGACATCATACTGCATTTCAGACACCAAGCATGATATGTTTTGAGTGGTTCTGGTGCATGTGTATTTGGTCAGGAACTCGATATGATGTCCTAGCTGCATGAACAACACGATGCAATAGACCAGGCACAAGGCATTGTGTGAAATATATTGCAAACTTATTCAAATATCTGATTACTAACTATAGTTTTATCTTAATATGTTGGATAAAGCAAGTAGTAGACATGCTTGTTATCATGATACGTACTAAGCACTTGATAAGAATGGTGTCACTTATGTAGGACTACATATTAAAGTGCATAATGTGACTTGTATGATTGTTTGTTGTTTAACACCACTCTCAGCAATATTCCAGCTATATGATGGCAGTATGAAGACCATCTTCCCGAGGCAAGGAGTTCACTGACTTTAAAATTCCAGTTTCCACCCTTGCCGAACTAGGCTGGAATTCCTGGGCTTGATCATAGTGCCACCAGTGGTTATTACAAGTTATGTCACTTTAAATGGGCCAATCAGATTCCAGCTCTCGTATCACCTGCACTTGTTTCAAACAAAACAGCGGCGCCCAGTCAAGACGATCTCATCGATAGTCAAGATCTATATTGTGATAAAACGGGTCTTACGTTGCACCTTGATTAGAAACATGAAAAGACTTGGAAATTATCTGTTGACAACGAGTTGGCGGTGCACATGCTTTGCAAATCCTGCAATCAACCGAAATCTGCACGTCAGTTTACAAAACGGATTCCGATTTCGGTGCACATTTTGATTGGACTATGCATAGACTCGATAGTCAAGCCAAATTGTAACTCCATAATTCCTGCCTAGTTCGGCAAGGGTGGAAACTGGACTTTATAGTCAGTTAATTCCCTTGCCTCAGGAAGATGTATGAAGACTAACTGACATGAAGATATTGTGTTACGATGGATTAATCACATACCAGAACCTACATTGTATGCTTGACATTCCTGTTTCTACTGCGAAGCATGTAATGAAGTAAAGGATAAATGCTGGATGTATACCCATTACATGTTTGTTTGTTTCTTAGTTTGTTGTTTGATACCGCACTCAGCAATATTCCAGCTATATGACAGCGGTCTGTGAATAATCGAGTCTGGACCAGACAATCCAGTGATTGATATCATGAGTTGATCCAAGCAATTGTGATACGATAGCATGCATCAACCAAGTCAGCGAGCCTAACCACCTGATCCCGTTAGTCGCTTTTCTGACAAGCATGGACTGCTGAAGACCTATTCTAACCCACATCTTCATGGGTCATGATAACAGGAGATTATTGGGCCCACTGGTTCAGCAAATTTGTTAACGTACATTATTTCAGTATATAAAGGTCTACCTCTGTCTCAATACTTGAGATTATGGAGACAGAGGTAGACCTTTATACTGTATTAGGGCTTTGACGGGTAACTCGGGTACTCGGGTCGGGTGGGTACTGAGTACTGAGTAGGACCCGGGTACCCACAGGACTACCAGGACCCGTGGTTAGTCACGTGATATATTGTTTTAATATGACAAAAATTATCTAAAACTCTATGGTTGCACTACAAGTCACTAATGTTCCCATTTCTTTCTGACTATGCACCATTCCTCTGACTTTGATATGTTTGAATGAAGATAAAACTTCATGCAGTAATCTTCAGTGTTTGCAAGACCAGATTGTTTTATACGTGTATCTAAATACATTTTGCCAGGGCAGACTTTTCCAAATCGGACATTTTGTAATAGGGGGGTGGGTACCCGGGTAGTAAATACTGTACATTCACATATCTGCTGAACCAACAGACCCATAGGTTTCATAGTTGTGGAATAAACTTAGTTTCTATCTTTATCTCTATTCTGTTAACTAATTTCAGTAAAAGAAAAAAGTATATGAAGGAGTCAAGTTGGGGAAGGGAGATAACCCTTTGACTTAGGTTTCCCCAAACATACTCTTACTATAGTTTTTATTTGTTTCAGCTGACCTGAAATACTTTAGAAGAGAGCACTTAAAAATAAATATTATATGTTGTTGAATTTTAGTTAAATAGATAATCTGTGTTTGGAAATTAATCTGAAAGCTTGCTTATTAGAAGAAAAGGGCTTTTTCATGATAAACAATCAACACATTAAATGTTAAAAAGTGTTTTAGTGTGATAAATGATGCTTTTTAGTTCAGCATTGATATTGCAATGGTTTCAGGTTTGTTTCAACAAGCATCTTATGGTGCATGCTGCTACAGGTACACGGTGAATGAATCTGTATTGGTGTGTTACAACAGCTCGGCGGCAGAGACCGGACTGGAACACCGACGTGAAGATGAAGACGACATCATTTGATGAGCTATGGGAAGATACATCGCCAGTGAAGAGAGATGACGCAGTGAGATCAGAGACTGTCAGTATCATGAAGAAATCCTGGGCCAGGGTTGGGCTGGATGTAAGTTGTGCTTCTATACTTGGTGGCAGTGTTCTTATTTATAAGTTATATGGGAGGCAGTGAGTAACTTTTACTGTCTCCTCTCCCAACTGTCTAGTTATATATTCCCAGTTATATATAACACTGCTTTATCTAAAAGCTACAGAAAGTATCAGAAAGTTAAGGTATTCCTCGGTCTTTCTAATTTTGAGTCTGGTGGACTCTCAGTACTACATTTTGAGGGTATGAACAAGGGGGGTCCCAGGATGATGACACGTGGCAGACTTCATTTGGTATCCAAGAATCTTCCTGGCATCATATCATTACACATGCTGAGAAGTTGTAAGCCTATTATGGATGGGAAATTCAATGTTAGATTTATGAAATTAACCATTTACGCTGTGCACATGCAAAACTTGTGTGCTTCTCACCAGAATACAAATGTTGGTTATATTTATAACATGCAATCTACAGTTGGATAAATTTAATGATTCAAACATCCATGCTTTTTAATGACAACCAAACTAGAACTGTAAAGTAACTTATTTATGTCCATGCCGAGTTTGTGGTGGCACATGGTCACAAATCAGGTGAAGTTAAGCACCGTCTGTCACGGAGAGTCCTTGGATGGGTGACCGAGTTTCGGCAACTTGGCTTCTAAGAGTTTCTAGGGCTTCTGTCCTGCCCCACACTGAAACACATCTGGTGTCTCCATGGGCAAGTGACTTTGTTCGAAATGGGTCTGTGTTCACCCAGCAGTGAATGGGTACCCGGTAGGATGAGATGGCACTGTGTTTGTTAACCTTCTAGTGCCAAACAGGCAGCTTGGGTTGTATACTCCCCAGGGAGCTGAGAATGATTCTTGAGTGCACAGTGATCCAGTGACCGGGATAATAATAGCACTTTGAGCATGCCCCTGAGTGGTGTGGAAATATGCACAATATAAATAGCCTATTATTATTATTAGTTTGTATGAGGGCGGTTGGGTAGCCTAGCGGTTAAAGCGTTCGCTGCTCACTGGCTTGTTTCCCGTCATGGGTACAGGGTGTGAAGCCCATTTCTAATGTCCCCCGCCTTGATATTGCTGGAATATTGCTAAAAGCGAAGTAAAACCATAAACCATAGTTTGTATGCATTTAGAATGCCATGTTTTGTGTGAAGAAAGATCCTTAAGACAAATGAGTGTTTCAGTTATTGAGTAGAATCTGAAAATTATTATTATTATTATTAATATTATTATTACCCCACAGGATGAAAATGACAACATATACAGCAGCAACAAATACACAGGTCCTCGTCACGCCCACTTTAAATCTGATGAAGACCTGCTGGCCTCAGAGAATATTGTGTCATCTCGCAGGGACAACAAGCACCAGATGAAGCCCAAAGGGAAGAGGTGGGTTGCACTACATGTCATTTACATGATAAAGTTTAGGGCTGGGACAGGTAACTCGGGTACCCGGGTCGGGTGGGTACTGAGTAGGACCCGGGTACCCTCAGGACGACCTGGACTCGTGGTTAGTCACGTGATATATTAATGACAAAAAAGTATCTGGAACTCTATGGTCACACTACAAGTCACTAATGTTCGCATTTCTCTCTGACTGTGCACCCATTCCTTCCGATTTTTCATATGGTTGAATAAAGATATAACTTTATTCCACTTCAGTGTATGAATGACCAGATTGTTCTTAAAACGTTTGCCAGGGATATGCTAAAGATGTTCCCAATCGGACATTTGGAAACATCTCCTGAGACCTACAGTGGGCACCCGGGTAGGGTTGGGTAATAGGGAGGTGGGTATCCGGGTAGTAAATTTGGACACATCCCAGCCCTAATACAGTTGTCTCATTCCTGAAATGGTGAGGCGAAATGTGATTTAACGTCTGGTTGAAGGTTATTGCACTTATATAGCTGCAGGCATGCACTTGAGTGCGTGGCTCCTTGCACTAGTCTGGAGTAGTCAGTTTTATAGTGCTAGCCCACTGAGAAACCATGCCACAGTTTAACATGGCTACCTCACTCAGACACAGTATGCTGACTTGGAGCCCAGCAGTCCATTTTATTCTCTTTTCAACATGTACCATCTTTTGACATATTTTGGTATAGGCCCTGTTTCACAACTCTCTTAGAACTAAGATGATTGTGACTCTCATACTTTAACATATACTTCCCCCAGTTATAGCGGTAAGATATTCATAACTCTCTTACTAAAGAAAAAGACTACCCTCAGTTATAGAGCTAAGAAGTTCGGAGCTCCTTACTTAAACATAGACTTACCCGAGTTCATGGTGCTATGACATTGGAACTCCTTACTTAAACATAATTTTACAATAATTGTAACGCTAAGATCACTGTTTGTAATGAGGCCCAGGTGATGTGTGCTACAAGGCAATGCAATCATTACCATGTTTAGGGAATACTGTAAAACATTTAGTTACAACTGCATTGAAGAGCATTAAACAAAATCCTTCAGGTTGATAAGATTTCCCGCCAGTATTCAGGCTACAGGGATGTTTGATTTAGAGATGGTCATGTTGATGTTGTCTGTTGCCAGCACATCATCTCGAAGCCACAAACTCAGTGCTGTACAGCATCGTCAGGAGCTGGAGAAGTTGTTGATGGAGTCGGAGAAGAGGTCTACAGATTCAGGCTATACGGAGGAACTAGGGGAGGAAGATGAAGCCTTAGAAATGCTCGGTGAGGCGGGAAGATTGACACATTGTGTCCTCGATGCAGGATATTTGATAGCCCAGAAGTAATGTCAATATCCTACCTCCAGTACATCACTGTTATGAATCCTGTGTTAATCACACTATATAGTCTTCAGATGTTTAACAGAAGTCTTCTTCACTTTCGACTATCCATTAACAGATGTGCAGGAAATGTATCCTGCTGTCTAATGCAGGCTCAAAGGGAGGAACCTCACTCTCTGATGTTCCCCAACATATTGCTACAAGCAGTGTAATGCCACTGTCCTAACTCACATGGTTCATTCATCCACATGTTAACTTTCACTCTTATCACGGTCATGTCAGAGTAGGTCTCTGACTGGGCCGATTTGCTTGTTAAAGAAGGCTGCCAGCATGTCCAGTGATTCCCAAATGTGTTGTTGAATCAGGGTACTGTAAATCTTGACATTAATTCGAGCGTGAATTAAATGCGAAAAATGCGAGTGGTCTTTGTTGGTATTAATGAAACTTCGCATTGATGTCTCCAAAATGACTAGCAACAATTTGCACACTTTTGATAGCAGAAATACCAACGTGAATATATACACAAACACGGTTTATTGAGCAGCAGTTGTAACAAGTACATAGCAATGCCATTGAGAGAATAGGAATTACACAACAGGCATCCGGTGTGTTATCACTGCTGGGGTCAAGAGTTCTACCCACTCGTGTTAAACTAGGCATCAATGACCACTCCAATCAGTGAATTGTTCCATTATGCCAGTCAACAGAATAATCATATATACTGTGTTGTTTTTAGGAAAACACTGTTTATTGTTACCAAACGAAGTTTTAATAAGCAGTGCTAATGCTGTTAGATTGGATTTAATGTAAGGATTTGTATCATAAGGTAAGGATATGAGTCACAATTTTTGGCTAGGGGTCAGCAGTTGTATTAATTTGGAGACGCATTAATTTCAAGATTTACAGTATTTGGTGCCAAGATGTACCAATTAGCCAATCAGTGTCTGGGCTTCCAAAGCCTCGGTATGAACAAGCATTCATACCTGCATATCTGATGGATAATCAGCTTGTCTCCACTGTAAACTCCAAATGCTGTGCCATTATATTGTTATTATTTTCACCCTGCCTTGCCATCGAAGGAATTCTGTGTAGTATTTCTTTGTGTTGGTAACACCTCAATATTGTAATTCAGAGGATGCTGATGATTTGAGACGAGAAGGGGTAACCAACATCCCAGCTACAGGCTACAGACTCAGTAAGGTGAGTAGATACTGTCAGACATCTATCTACAGGTACTCAGTCCAGTTGGTCATGGTGGGATTCTGGGTACAATAGGTCGCCAGTACCCTATTCTTGTCTTCCTGTTGGGTTTCCATGTAGAATAGGTCCCCAGAACACCATGCTTGTCTTCCTGTTGGGTTTCCATGTAGAATAGGTCCCCAGAACACCATGCTTGTCTTCCTGTTGGGTTTCCATGTAGAATAGGTCCCCAGGACACCATGCTTGTCTTCCTGTTGGGTTTCCATGTAGAATAGGTCCCCAGAACACCATTCTTGTCTTCCTGTTGGGTTTCCATGTAGAATAGGTCCCCAGAACACCATGCTTGTCTTCCTGTTGGGTTTCCATGTAGAATAGGTCCCCAGAACACCATGCTTGTCTTCCTGTTGGGTTTCCATGTAGAATAGGTCCCCAGAACACCATGCTTGTCTTCCTGTTGGGTTTCCATGTAGAATACAGTACCCTATTCTTGTCTTCCTGTTGTGTTTCCATGTAGAATAGGTCCCCAGAACACCATGCTTGTCTTCCTGTTGGGTTTCCATGTAGAATAGGTCCCCAGAACACCATGCTTGTCTTCCTGTTGTGTTTCCATGTAGAATAGGTCCCCAGAACACCATGCTTGTCTTCCTGTTGGGTTTCCATGTAGAATAGGTCCCCAGAACACCATGCTTGTCTTCCTGTTGGGTTTCCATGTAGAATAGGTCCCCAGAACACCATGCTTGTCTTCCTGTTGGGTTTCCATGTAGAATAGGTCCCCAGAACACCATGCTTGTCTTCCTGTTGGGTTTCCATGTAGAATAGGTCCCCAGAACACCATGCTTGTCTTCCTGTTGGGTTTCCATGTAGAATACAGTACCCTATTCTTGTCTTCCTGTTGTGTTTCCATGTAGAATAGGTCCCCAGAACACCATGCTTGTCTTCCTGTTGGGTTTCCATGTAGAATAGGTCCCCAGAACACCATGCTTGTCTTCCTGTTGGGTTTCCATGTAGAATAGGTCCCCAGAACACCATGCTTGTCTTCCTGTTGGGTTTCCATGTAGAATAGGTCCCCAGAACACCATGCTTGTCTTCCTGTTGGGTTTCCATGTAGAATAGGTCCCCAGAACACCATGCTTGTCTTCCTGTTGGGTTTCCATGTAGAATAGGTCCCCAGGACACCATGCTTGTCTTCCTGTTGGGTTTCCATGTAGAATAGGTCCCCAGAACACCATTCTTGTCTTCCTGTTGGGTTTCCATGTAGAATAGGTCCCCAGAACACCATGCTTGTCTTCCTGTTGGGTTTCCATGTAGAATAGGTCCCCAGAACACCATGCTTGTCTTCCTGTTGGGTTTCCATGTAGAATAGGTCCCCAGAACACCATGCTTGTCTTCCTGTTGGGTTTCCATGTAGAATACAGTACCCTATTCTTGTCTTCCTGTTGTGTTTCCATGTAGAATAGGTCCCCAGAACACCATGCTTGTCTTCCTGTTGGGTTTCCATGTAGAATAGGTCCCCAGAACACCATGCTTGTCTTCCTGTTGGGTTTCCATGTAGAATAGGTCCCCAGAACACCATGCTTGTCTTCCTGTTGGGTTTCCATGTAGAATAGGTCCCCAGAACACCATGCTTGTCTTCCTGTTGGGTTTCCATGTAGAATACAGTACCCTATTCTTGTCTTCCTGTTGTGTTTCCATGTAGAATAGGTCCCCAGAACACCATGCTTGTCTTCCTGTTGGGTTTCCATGTAGAATAGGTCCCCAGAACACCATGCTTGTCTTCCTGTTGGGTTTCCATGTAGAATAGGTCCCCAGAACACCATGCTTGTCTTCCTGTTGGGTTTCCATGTAGAATAGGTCCCCAGAACACCATGCTTGTCTTCCTGTTGGGTTTCCATGTAGAATAGGTCCCCAGAACACCATGCTTGTCTTCCTGTTGGGTTTCCATGTAGAATAGGTCCCCAGAACACCATGCTTGTCTTCCTGTTGGGTTTCCATGTAGAATAGGTCCCCAGGACACCATGCTTGTCTTCCTGTTGGGTTTCCATGTAGAATAGGTCCCCAGAACACCATTCTTGTCTTCCTGTTGGGTTTCCATGTAGAATAGGTCCCCAGAACACCATGCTTGTCTTCCTGTTGGGTTTCCATGTAGAATAGGTCCCCAGAACACCATGCTTGTCTTCCTGTTGGGTTTCCATGTAGAATAGGTCCCCAGAACACCATGCTTGTCTTCCTGTTGGGTTTCCATGTAGAATACAGTACCCTATTCTTGTCTTCCTGTTGTGTTTCCATGTAGAATAGGTCCCCAGAACACCATGCTTGTCTTCCTGTTGTGTTTCCATGTAGAATAGGTCCCCAGAACACCATGCTTGTCTTCCTGTTGGGTTTCCATGTAGAATAGGTCCCCAGAACACCATGCTTGTCTTCCTGTTGGGTTTCCATGTAGAATAGGTCCCCAGAACACCATGCTTGTCTTCCTGTTGGGTTTCCATGTAGAATAGGTCCCCAGAACACCATGCTTGTCTTCCTGTTGGGTTTCCATGTAGAATAGGTCCCCAGAACACCATGCTTGTCTTCCTGTTGGGTTTCCATGTAGAATAGGTCCCCAGAACACCATGCTTGTCTTCCTGTTGGGTTTCCATGTAGAATACAGTACCCTATTCTTGTCTTCCTGTTGTGTTTCCATGTAGAATAGGTCCCCAGAACACCATGCTTGTCTTCCTGTTGGGTTTCCATGTAGAATAGGTCCCCAGAACACCATGCTTGTCTTCCTGTTGGGTTTCCATGTAGAATAGGTCCCCAGAACACCATGCTTGTCTTCCTGTTGGGTTTCCATGTAGAATAGGTCCCCAGTACCCTATTCTTGTCTTCCTGTTGGGTTTCCATGTAGAATAAGTCCCCAGTACCCTATTCTTGTCTTCCTGTTGGGTTTCCATGTAGAATAGGTCCCCAGAACACCATGCTTGTCTTCCTGTTGGGTTTCCATGTAGAATAGGTCCCCAGAACACCATGCTTGTCTTCCTGTTGTGTTTCCATGTAGAATAGGTCCCCAGAACACCATGCTTGTCTTCCTGTTGGGTTTCCATATAGAATAGGTCCCCAGAACACCATGCTTGTCTTCCTGTTGGGTTTCCATGTAGAATAGATCCCCAGAACACCATGCTTGTCTTCCTGTTGGGTTTCCATGTAGAATAGGTCCCCAGTACCCTATTCTTGTCTTCCTGTTGTGTTTCCATGTAGAATAGGTCCCCAGAACACCATGCTTGTCTTCCTGTTGGGTTTCCATGTAGAATAGGTCCCCAGAACACCATGCTTGTCTTCCTGTTGGGTTTCCATGTAGAATAGGTCCCCAGAACACCATGCTTGTCTTCCTGTTGGGTTTCCATGTAGAATAGGTCCCCAGTACCCTATTCTTGTCTTCCTGTTGGGTTTCCATGTAGAATAAGGCCCCAGTACCCTATTCTTGTCTTCCTGTTGGGTTTCCATGTAGAATAGGTCCCCAGAACACCATGCTTGTCTTCCTGTTGGGTTTCCATGTAGAATAGGTCCCCAGAACACCATGCTTGTCTTCCTGTTGTGTTTCCATGTAGAATAGGTCCCCAGAACACCATGCTTGTCTTCCTGTTGGGTTTCCATATAGAATAGGTCCCCAGAACACCATGCTTGTCTTCCTGTTGGGTTTCCATGTAGAATAGATCCCCAGAACACCATGCTTGTCTTCCTGTTGGGTTTCCATGTAGAATAGGTCCCCAGTACCCTATTCTTGTCTTCCTGTTGGGTTTCCATGTAGAATAGGTCCCCAGAACACCATGCTTGTCTTCCTGTTGGGTTTCCATGTAGAATAGGTCCCCAGGACACCATGCTTGTCTTCCTGTTGGGTTTCCATGTAGAATAGGTCCCCAGAACACCATGCTTGTCTTCCTGTTGGGTTTCCATGTAGAATAGGTCCCCAGAACACCATGCTTGTCTTCCTGTTGGGTTTCCATGTAGAATAGGTCCCCAGAACACCATGCTTGTCTTCCTGTTGGGTTTCCATGTAGAATAGGTCCCCAGAACACCATGCTTGTCTTCCTGTTGGGTTTCCATGTAGAATAGGTCCCCAGGACACCATGCTTGTCTTCCTGTTGGGTTTCCATGTAGAATAGGTCCCACGAACACCATTCTTGTCTTCCTGTTGGGTTTCCATGTAGAATAGGTCCCCAGAACACCATGCTTGTCTTCCTGTTGGGTTTCCATGTAGAATAGGTCCCCAGAACACCATGCTTGTCTTCCTGTTGGGTTTCCATGTAGAATAGGTCCCCAGAACACCATGCTTGTCTTCCTGTTGGGTTTCCATGTAGAATAGGTCCCCAGAACACCATGCTTGTCTTCCTGTTGTGTTTCCATGTAGAATAGGTCCCCAGAACACCATGCTTGTCTTCCTGTTGGGTTTCCATGTAGAATAGGTCCCCAGAACACCATGCTTGTCTTCCTGTTGGGTTTCCATGTAGAATAGGTCCCCAGAACACCATGCTTGTCTTCCTGTTGGGTTTCCATGTAGAATAGGTCCCCAGAACACCATGCTTGTCTTCCTGTTGAGTTTCCATGTAGAATACAGTACCCTATTCTTGTCTTCCTGTTGTGTTTCCATGTAGAATAGGTCCCCAGAACACCATGCTTGTCTTCCTGTTGGGTTTCCATGTAGAATAGGTCCCGAGAACACCATGCTTGTCTTCCTGTTGGGTTTCCATGTAGAATAGGTCCCCAGAACACCATGCTTGTCTTCCTGTTGTGTTTCCATGTAGAATAGGTCCCCAGAACACCATGCTTGTCTTCCTGTTGGGTTTCCATGTAGAATAGGTCCCCAGAACACCATGCTTGTCTTCCTGTTGGGTTTCCATGTAGAATAGATCCCCAGAACACCATGCTTGTCTTCCTGTTGGGTTTCCATGTAGAATAGGTCCCCAGTACCCTATTCTTGTCTTCCTGTTGTGTTTCCATGTAGAATAGGTCCCCAGTACCCTATTCTTGTCTTCCTGTTGGGTTTCCATGTAGAATAAGTCCCCAGTACCCTATTCTTGTCTTCCTGTTGGGTTTCCATGTAGAATAGGTCCCCAGAACACCATGCTTGTCTTCCTGTTGGGTTTCCATGTAGAATAGGTCCCCAGAACACCATGCTTGTCTTCCTGTTGTGTTTCCATGTAGAATAGGTCCCCAGAACACCATGCTTGTCTTCCTGTTGTGTTTCCATGTAGAATAGGTCCCCAGAACACCATGCTTGTCTTCCTGTGGGGTTTCCATGTAGAATAGATCCCCAGAACACCATGCTTGTCTTCCTGTTGGGTTTCCATGTAGAATAGGTCCCCAGTACCCTATTCTTGTCTTCCTGTTGTGTTTCCATGTAGAATAGGTCCCCAGAACACCATGCTTGTCTTCCTGTTGGGTTTCCATGTAGAATAGGTCCCCAGAACACCATGCTTGTCTTCCTGTTGGGTTTCCATGTAGAATAGGTCCCCAGAACACCATGCTTGTCTTCCTGTTGTGTTTCCATGTAGAATAGGTCCCCAGAACACCATGCTTGTCTTCCTGTTGGGTTTCCATGTAGAATAGGTCCCCAGAACACCATGCTTGTCTTCCTGTGGGGTTTCCATGTAGAATAGATCCCCAGAACACCATGCTTGTCTTCCTGTTGGGTTTCCATGTAGAATAGGTCCCCAGTACCCTATTCTTGTCTTCCTGTTGTGTTTCCATGTAGAATAGGTCCCCAGAACACCATGCTTGTCTTCCTGTTGGGTTTCCATGTAGAATAGGTCCCCAGGACACCATGCTTGTCTTCCTGTTGGGTTTAATTGTAGAATAGGTCCCCAGAACACCATGCTTGTCTTCCTGTTGTGTTTCCATGTAGAATAGGTCCCCAGAACACCATGCTTGTCTTCCTGTTGGGTTTCCATGTAGAATAGGTCCCCAGAACACCATGCTTGTCTTCCTGTTGGGATTCCATGTAGAATAGGTCCCCAGAACACCATGCTTGTCTTCCTGTGGGGATTCCATGTAGAATAGATCCCCAGTACCCTATTCTTGTCTTCCTGTGGGAATTCTGGGCTCAATAGGTCCCCAGTACACCGTGCTTGTCTTCCTGTGGGAATTCTTGGCACAATAGGTCCCCAGTACCCTATTCTTGTCTTCCTGTGTAGATTCTGGGCACAGTAGGTCCCCAGTACCCTATTCTTGTCTTACTGTGGGAATTCTGGGCACAATAGGTACCCAGTACCCTATTCTTGTCTTCATGTGGGAATTCTGGGCTCAATAGGTCCCCAGTACACCATGCTTGTCTTCCTGTGGGAATTCTGGGCTCAATAGGTCCCCAGTACACCATGCTTGTCTTCCTGTGGGAATTCTTGGCACAATAGGTCCCCAGTACCCTATTCTTGTCTTCCTGTTGGGATTCCATGTAGAATAGATCCCCAGTACCCTATTCTTGTCTTCCTGTGGAGATTTCATGTAGAATAGGTCCCCAGTACCCTATTCTTGTCTTCCTGTGTAGATTCTGGGCACAGTAGGTCCCCAGTACCCTATTCTTGTCTTACTGTGGGAATTCTTGGCACAATAGGTCCCCAGAACACCATGCTTGTCTTCCTGTTGGGTTTCCATGTAGAATAGGTCCCCAGAACACCATTCTTGTCTTCTTGTGGGGATTCCATGTAGAATAGGTCCCCAGTACACCATTCTTGTCTTCCTGTTGGGTTTCCATGTAGAATAGGTCCCCAGTACCCTATTCTTGTCTTCCTGTTGGGATTCCATGTAGAATAGGTCCCCAGTACCCTATTCTTGTCTTCCTGTGGAGATTCCATGTAGAATAGGTCCCCAGTACCCTATTCTTGTCTTACTGTGGGAATTCTGGGCACAACAGGTCCCCAGTACACCGTGCTTGTCTTCCTGTGGGGATTCCATGTAGAATAGGTCCCCAGAACACCATGCTTGTCTTCCTGTTGGGTTTCCATGTAGAATAGGTCCCCAGTACCCTATTCTTGTCTTCCTGTTGGGATTCCATGTAGAATAGGTCCCCAGTACCCTATTCTTGTCTTCCTGTGGAGATTCCATGTAGAATAGGTCCCCAGTACCCTATTCTTGTCTTCCTGTGGAGATTCCATGTAGAATAGGTCCCCAGTACCCTATTCTTGTCTTACTGTGGGAATTCTGGGCACAACAGGTCCCCAGTACACCGTGCTTGTCTTCCTGTGGGGATTCCATGTAGAATAGGTCCCCAGTACACCATGCTTGTTGTGGGAGCTGACTAAAATTGAGATCTGTTGGTTACTGTTTGACCAGGCTGATTGCCTGGGATCATAGTATCTGTACCCTGACAGCCAGGGTCATCTGCTCATTCTATCAACCACTGGTTTGCTAACCTTTATGCAGCTAGAATATCACTGTCATGTAACTGTGAGAAAGAGTTTGTAAAACTGTTTGGAGTTTGTTAGTAGAATTTATCATATATATTCTGTTTTGCAGATCATGCGTCAGCGACGAGCGGAGCCAACTGTTAAACTGAACATCAAGTAAGTACTGTCATGCTACTTCACAAGGTTTCATTCAAAATTTGATTATGATATGTTAATAGTCCACATTTTTGTGTGAACAGAAAACAATAAGTATATTCGCAGTATATATTCTACCAGATTTGAGGGCACTGGCTGCCAAATTACCTAAGGCCATTTGCTCTGCAGACTTGCCGAAAGCTTTGATGGTGGGTTTGTTACCCTGTGTGCCCCAATTATGTTTCTAGGTTTTTCAGCACCCTTCCAGTGCATGTTGGTATCACCAAACTGGTAAATGTCCGAAACCTGCATCACTTCGGGCTGACATGCTGTGATATAACTGGAATACTGTTGAAAGTAGTGTTGAACCCAATTCACTCACTCACTCTATCAGATTTGCAGCAGTGACCCTGATGTTTAAACAAGTGAAAATAGATCTCATGGAAAATAAGTAATTCAACTTCAAGGTGACAGAATCAAGCTTTCCGTGTAAGTTTTAATGCTAGCCATCTAACTCAAGATCTGGATTTGTATTTTATTCACTTTGTGTTGATTATCTTAGACCAATAACAGTTTCCAAAAGTGAGTACATAGATTTTGCATTAGCTGATACCGGTATTGTTTGTTCACACTGTTGTTTATATTCTGGAAACAGCTTCTTTGATTCCTTGTTGACTTTGCTTGCACTTGGTTGTTTTTTCCTTGTTCTTTTTCCTCCTGCAAATGTAACTTGCCAAAAAATAACATATTTTAGGAGTTGTACAAAGAGTAGGTGAAAAGAGATTAGTTCAGTAGATGTAACCAAATAATTGAAAAGTTAACGTCTATTTTAATGCATTCTAAACAAGGGCTTGTTTTGGTCATATTTTGATTAGTATTCAAACTTAAGCATTTAACTAAATTGTCACTGACCTTTGGACAACCCTTAAACACTGCATCTGTTCATCTTGTATTATTTGCATTCATATCTTAGAGAGGTGGTGGGGTAGCCTTGTGGTTAAAGCATTTCCTCGTCACGCCGATGGTCCAGGTTCGAATACCCACATGGGTGCAATGCGTGAAACCCATTTCTGGTGTCCCCAGCTGTGATATTGCTGGAATATTGCTAAAAGCGGCATAAAACCCAACTCACTGACTTTCTCACACAATAACATAATAAAATGCAAGCATATGAAAACACATTATTTTCTTCACTTGGAATGGTGGAACACATTTTTTAACCAAACACATGTGACCCAATTCACAATGAGGTTTAATTCTACGAGTTTTGTAAGTCTATGTTAAACTTCCAGAGTTACACAGTTGTTGCGCTAAATCTGTTTGCGAAACCAGGCAATAGTTGTTATGTTTAGTATGGCTTACCTTAGTATGTGTAGATCCCTCAGTAGATTAGAGGAATGTTCATACAGTGCTGCTAAATTCTTCATTGACCATCAGACAATAATCTTGGGGACATCAATGCCCCAAAATGATACGCAATTTTCAGAAGAACAATAAAAAAAAATGACCAATTTGCAGCAAAGTATATATTGTGCACTGCTTGTCTAATGATGTGTTGTGCTAGTTATCTCCCCTGTCTAACTCTCTCACCCGTGGTCTCTACATCTTACAGTCTTTATCCAAGGCCTGAGCCAGCACCCTCAGTACAAGGTATGTCTGCTGTCATACCCCTCTTTATTGAGTCTATACTATGTCACAAAGCCCAAGTCAAAGTTTGAACTGTTGATATCACTATTTCTTGTAGTTAAAAGTGCTTTTGACTTAAATTTCCATTTGTAACAAGATTTTATTGTTGCATAATTTTACAACTAACATTTCGTTACAGGTACATTTGCTCTTTCTCTTCTCTTATTATCAATACATGTATTGTAATATTATCAATATCATAAATCAGCTCAGCCAATGATTACCTTGTTGTGAATAATCACATAAAAAGCAAATGTGTTTTAGCAAATAAAATATTTTTGTTTGATCTTTGCCCAAAATGCCTCAGAGTAAAGTGTTCTTGTCTTGCCTCATTTTGGTGTGTTACTAATGATAAAATGTTTGCCAGTTGTATTTACGTCATGAGATGTGATCTGCATGATACATAGGTTGTATGTGAAGATGTTTGTCTTATGTATTTATGTACCAAAGCCTGTTAAGGCAATTACAAAAAAATAAAATTGAATGTCTTGATGTTATGATAATATGTTGGTTTTTCAGATAATATAAACATGAATTTCCAAAACCAATTTTTTAAGAAAACATCTTTCAACATATTTTATATACATGTATATCTTTAGATTTCTTTTTATGATTGTTTATATGTTATGATGTTTTTTAGAAAATAAGTTGTGATGTTCTTGAGACAAAATGTGTTCACTGCAGGAAATTCAAAATTGATATATTGTGTTCTTTGATGGGTGTGGGATCACAAAGCAGGCCAACAGTTTTTAATGGATAACAACTTCTTTACTATACTGTAACAGTGATGTTTCGATATAGGTCCGAGTACCGTTGTCAAGCAAGGACAATAACTTATGCTTGCATCATATGTGCCTCTTGAATATGGGCTTCTTGAACCACCCTGAGAGCGGTGGGGGGCGGTTGGGTAGCCTAGTGGTTAAAGCATTCGCTTGTCACGCCGAAGACCTGGGTTCGATTCCCGACATGGGTACAATGTGTGAAGCCCATTTCTGGTGTCCCCGCCGTGATATTGCTGGAATGTTGCTAAAAGTGGCGTAAAACCATACTCAATCACTCACTGGGGCGGTGGAGTAGCCTAGTGGATAAGATATTCGCTCGGGCCCGGGTTTGATTCCACGCATGGGTAAAATGTGTGAAGCCCATTTTGGGTGTCTCCCGCCGTGATATTGCTGGAATATTGCTAAAAGTGGCGTAAAACCATAATCACGCACTCACTCACTCGAACCACCCTGGACATGGACTGATGTCCCAGACCTGCATCCTGATGATCCTACATGAAGCTGTGTTTGGCAAAGCAGAGTCCACTTTTAATCTTAACAGTGTTCACATAATCAGTATTTTATGAGGTGTACATGTCCTGATATGTTTTTTGAGATAGGTGATTCTCGAGTCCAGGCTGCATGATGTCCCGAGTGTCTCCTCACTACCCTTCTAACCCTTAGTAACTAACGTGATTATCCTTAATGCCCTATGTTTTTCTTCAAGGAGAATCGTATGGAGAGTATGATTCTGACATGGACTACAGGCCACATACAGGTCAGTATTGTAGAGCTCTATAGACTTGTGTTGTATACTACTCAAAAGAAGTTATCAACCGATTCCTTCATATCAGGCATAAAAAAATTAAGAAGAATTGGTTCTCAGGCAATGGATTTTAAAATATAATGCGGGCTGTTGGCCTTTTTGCTGTTGTTGTTCAACCATGTCATGCCATGACAGATTAATTATGGTAATATGAAAGATTTTGGTGGTCCTTAACGTCTTTTGAGTAGAATCTATTCAGGGGTAGAGACCATGATGAAAATTCCAATAGTCCAGAGCTTATTTTGAATTCTTTTGGGTAGATAATCACTATTCCTTCCCCTCTCCTTGGGACTATTGTACTGTTGGCAGAGTGCAATCCTGTTTTCACAAAAAATATTCAAAATTAAATCTGTAACCTGGAATTGTTTTTGAAATCGTTGTTCCAATTTGAAAACGTTGTTTCAGGAGGTCCATCCGGAGTGGAGAGTGATGATGAGTTTGAGAGTGTCTCCCAGGTGACGGGCCCGGTAAGTGTAAGTCATCACTTTTCACATCACAGTTGTTGTTGTAGATGTTGCCACAGCTTTCACACTGCCTGTGTTGCCAGGGACTGCCTGCTCTCTCTCCTGTTGTTTGTTTGTTTGTTTGTTTGCTTTCTTGTTCCTGTTAACATCTAAAAGCAAGAAACTTGGATTTGACGGGGGGGGGGGGGTGGGGGCAAGCACAGTGACTTTGTTGATTAAATTTCAAGTGTTGAATGTTGTTCATTTTGTCAACCTCTGGTTTATCTGGCCATGAATCTATTATTAACATACTGTTGTGATGTAGATATAGTAATGCTAACAGTGGTATAAACAACAAACAAACAAAACATGGCTTGAACAATTGAACTGATACTGATGCTGAATAGGATTGCATTGTCAAACCTCTCTCCAGCTGGATGAGACACTGCTACATCTTCCTCATCTTCTGTGTCTTCAGTGTTGCATGTCAATGTCATCTTGATAGGAATTCGTTTTTGTATGTCCTGATCCTTACAATGCACTGGGACGCTCGGGTAGCCTAGTGGTTAAAGCGTTTGCTCGTCACGCCGAAGACCCGGGTTTCAATTCCCGACATGGGTACAATGTGTGAAGCCCATTTCTGGTGTCCCCCGCCGTGATATTGCTGGAATATTGCTAAAAGCGGCGTAAAACCGTACTCACTCACTTCAATGCACTGACTTGATTGATAAACGTGTATATGTATATTTGACTATTCAACATTAAACACACTGACTTACTTTAGCTATACTCAGTGACAGGTGCTATATGATCAGGATTAACAGGGAGCAATTTTTCTATATCCAAGCTGCACCAGTGCAGGTAAAACATTGCTAGTGCAGGTAACTTGTATTGCCAGGTTGCACCCAGTGCAGGTAACATTTACAACCACAAGTGCACGGCAGCAGTTATATTTGATAACAGTGGAAAACAGAATTCATTTGGAATTGGCTGCAAATCTTTTAGAATCCAGGAAACAAAAGTTCCTTAAAATAATTAGATACACAGGTCTAAATGCAGCAAACTTGCAGAACTAATTCTTCACTAATACCACTTAACAGTCACTCATGCGGTTACAATCACAACAAACAGACACTTTGAAAGTTCTGTTTTAGGTTTTCTACTGGATATCGATACATGAAAAGCCATAATATATACAGATTTCGTCAAAATATAATACTGGAGCACATTCTCAAGTTTATTTTCTCTTTGAATTTATTAAATATTCCAAATAACTGAAAATACATGGTTTCAATTTATGATAAAATTGTGCAGCCAATATTTTGGTGGTGCAACCTGATTAATTCACTTGGTTTCACCCAGTGCAGGTAATAAAACAGAATTAAATTGATCCTGATTAACAAGGGTTGAGTCCTCGTGCTTCTGTTCCTGCTGCTAACATTGTTGATGGTTCTTTCAGAGACGGCCTGTGTGGAATGTCCCTGATTCTGATGGTAAGTGTACATACTGTTTACTGGGCAACTTATTCTGTTAGAATTCAGTCAAGAGATAAATTGCCCTTATTATCTCCATATACCACGTATATAAAAAACAACAATGCCAGAGAATAACCTGGTTTGATTATCCAGTGAACTTGAAACTCATTAAAAAAAATGAATCTTATTAACCAAACTCAGTTCTAATAACTTTATGAGCAATTTCCTTTGAAATTTCCATGTGGGGATTCCGTGGAATTTCTTCCCAGCTCTGTCGTTGGAACCACAGGGATAAATTAAATACTGCTTATTATCATGACTTGTAGGCCATTCCGGAATGTTCAGCAATATCTGTAGGTGTAACTGATGTCAGAAATGCAGGTGAGATGATCATGCATTTAGATAACAGTTGGACTGAAAGAGGAAAACCAGAATGTAGGTCTACTGTTACCATGGTTACGATGCATGTATGTGACAGATACCAGTATTTTATTTTTGTGTCAACAGGAGAAAGCTACATACCTCGTCCTGCTTTCTCCACTCCGCAGCCAAGCAAAGCCAAGGGGAAACCATCAAAGCACAGGTCTGCCTTTCTTCATGTTTCTGTAATCTTACTGTGCTGGAATCCCAGGTTTGCCCTGGTTATTAGGTTGGTTTGTCTGCACCATACTTGTGCTTGTAGTAAATACCAGCTTCAGTCTTCACCTCCACATGAAACAGATGTATCGTGGTATTTACCTTTAAAGTGGTGTAAATGATGTTAGTGACATGACAGATGAATATGGAGACTTCCAATATGAAGCTATTGAGGCAAATAATTCAAGGGTCTCTATCATTACAGAATGGAGATCTACTACAATTCAAATAAAGATATACACTAGATATTCAAAGATGATATCAATGCAAAATGGAGATATACACTAGCTATTCAAAGATGATGTCAATGCAAAATGGAGATATACACTAGCTATTCAAAGATGATGTCAATGCAAAATGGAGATATACACTAGATATTCAGAGATGATATCAATGCCAAGAATATTTGTACATATTGTATGCATTCAGATACACTGTAAGATGGACCAGTCTGTCGTTTGCATATTTTAGTCAGACTATGGGGGTTTAATTGATGTGTGTATTTTTGCAAGTTGACACAGGTTGTTCTCTTTCCACAGACACCTCTCCTCAACTGGTCCCGCCAGACACAACGTCCCGAGTCCTGGTCGGTCGCTGGAGAGTGTGGACGACTTTACACGGGAAGGCGTGAAGACTTGGACGCCGGGCGCAGCCAGCTCACATCGGGTACTACTTAATTTTTGCTGAAGTATGGTTTCAGGTCTGGCCACATGATGTGTGTTTGGACACGTGACCACAGAACTTGCTTTCATATTGTAGGATTACCTTTTTCACCCAGAAACGTTCAATGAGTTACATCAAGTGGATAATGATGTGTCAAGCTATATGTTAGTCTCTGATATTTATTCCTTTGAGGTGCAGTGATTCACTTGTTGCACCTGGGGCTTCAAGAATCCAATATTTCTGTGTTTGAATCCCAGAATTGCCCTGATAATGATCCTTGGTTTGTCAGCACCAAATCCATGCTTGTCGGTTCCATAGAAGTGGTAGTCATCACTTTAGGCATTCTTTACACATTAAACGGAAACTGTGATACAGCTGAAATACTGTTGAAAGCAGAGTTAAACACAACTTGCCCACTCACTGTTACTTGTCTACCGACTCGTGCTGCTATGGTGATGATGGTGTTGTTGTTGACAGAGAGTGATGTCCCCTGATGGAGATGAGGTTAGAGAGTCCTTACAGTCAGCACGTGGGGGATGGACGTTCCCGGATGATTCTGATGCCAGTTTCACAGAATTCAGCAATAGTAAGTCACTTCCATGAATATTCTTGCTCATTTTTATCGACTGTGTCATGAGGACTTGGTGAGAATTGATCTTTGTGTATGATTGCTGCCATTTCAGTGGTCTTTGGTTGGTATCACAAGATTTCTAAAGACTGGTCCTTTTCTTTTTCAGGGAAAGGATCATCATATAGAGAACCACAAGGTAAGCTGGATGAATCCATGTGTTGTCAACCCTGATAAAGCAGCCATATAAGACTGAGAATACTGTAAACTCTCTACTGTACTTAGGACAATCATAAAGATCCGGGGTAGAATATGTCTTCAGCAACCCCTGCTTGCCATGTAAGAGGATGATCACTAACGGGATCGGGTGGTCAGGCTCACTGACTTGGTGGATGCATGTCATCAAATCCCACTTACGTGGATCGATGCTCATGTTTTCAATCACTAGTCTGGTCCAGACTCGATTATTTACAGACCGACGTCTTTTAACTGAGTGCTGCGTTTAACAACAAATAAACAAACAAACATATCACTGAAATACATTAACTTGTGACCTTGACCTTCTCTCATGAAGGGGGCGACAGGTTGGGCTCATCTTTTTCACAAACCTTTTTTATGGTGAAGATCTTGATGTCACGTAAGGATCCACTGATCATTTGTTTTTGATCTCATATTCTCACTAGTTATGATCCTTGGTTTGTCAGCACCATACTTAAGACCTAGGAGTTTCATCAATGTGATCAATGTGTGTGACTTTGGAGTGGTCTACAACCTGCATCACTGGAGCTTTTAGCTGACATCAAGCTGTCATATAACTGAAGTACTGTTCCATGGCTTGTTGCAAAGAGGTGACTAACGGGATCAGGTGGTCAGGCGTGCTGACATGGTTGATCCACGTCATCAAATTAAGACATGTATCAAAGAATTAAACCATATACATTGATATCATACTTCCTATGATAATGCTAGTTCCGGAAGTGTTTATATTCAATGTCAATGGACCTGTGAAGATCCGGGGTAGAATAAGTCTTCAGCAACCCATGCTTGTGGTAAAAGGGGACTATGCTTGTCGTAAGAGGCGACTAACGGGATCGGGTGGTCAGACTCGCTGACTTGGTTGATGCATGTCATCGTATCCCAAATGCCTAGATTGATGCTCATTATATCAATCATTGGATTGTCTGTTTCAGACTCAATTATTTACAGACCGCTGTCATATACATGTAGCTGGAACTTTGCTTAGTGCGACGTTAAACAACAAATAAACACAAACACACACTTGTTGCACAAAACTCATTCAATCAATTATTTGCCCTTTTCAGCATACTGATCTACAGTCTAGAGGAGAGAAGCACAGACTCGCCACTGTTAATGGATTTTTCGCATATATATAACTCCCTTTTCAAATAATGTATTGTTACATTTACTTGATAGGTTTACATGATCCTTTTTTAAACTTTTCTGCTCATCCATTTTTGTAGGCAATCTATATTTTTCAGATAATATTGTTTGGTATCAGCGATACAGAGCATAATGATAAAAAAAGGATTAAAATTAGTTTGTGAGTTTATAGAGAGATAGCTGTTGTGATATATGGTAAGCCTATGTTCTATAATACATAGCACATGTAAACATGTTTGTTGTTTTTGTCCTTTCATCCTGATAGACATTGAACTGTGATATTTGCAACTTGACTGTCAATGTTGTATCATTGTATACAATTCTTTCATGTACATTATTTTGTACATGCATGATTTTAATAAAAGGTTTAGCTAAACATTGTTCTTCTTTTCATCGTCAGCTTTTTTTATACCCAGCTCACACATTATAAAAACCAGATCCTCAATAGTCGTCATGGGTACTCAAGACCAATTCTACCTGACAGCCTTTAAAATTCATACTAGTCCTCCAGCCCGAGACTACTAAATTGTGCCGAGGAAATCAAATGATGTTATTCCTCATTGACTAGAGGACTTTAATCCAGAACCATAACAAATGTTATATTTGGGATAACATTTTCTTGGAAAAGTACAGATTCAAGCACTCTTTGGGTTTAGGTCCTATCCAGGATTCGAACCCACACTGCCAAGAGTGAGGCACCTAATCGCCAGCACACAAAGTCAGTGATCCAACCCACTCAGCCACCGAGGCTTCCACAAAAATGAAAGTCTGACAACTGGTAGTCTAGATCACGTATTTTGTGTACCCCTGACAAGTGCAATTTGGCATGGCCGAAAGCTATGAACACAATGCCATTTAGACAGTGGTCAAATGTAACAAATGCTGTATTTGGGATAACACTTTCTTAGTAAAGTACAGATTCTTGTACTTTTTGGGGAGGAGTCCCATCTGGAATTCGAACCCACACTGCCAGAGTGAGGCAACTAAAAGACAGCATACAAAGTCAGCCATCTAACCCAGCCACCAGGTTTCCACAAAATTGAAAGTCCAACAACTGGTAGTGTAGATCACCTACTTTGTGTGCTAAGGATTAGTTTTTGGACCTTGTACGACACATTTTGATTTGTTTGAGGGGTAATGTTTATGTTCAACAAATTCTTTGGCTATTCTAATGGATGGTAAAGTAAATCAAACTAACTCATATCTACCTCATATGTACAATCAACTCGCTGCATCAATTTTTGTTCCATGAAAATATGCATATGTTCATGGTGGTTACATTAAAATTCGGACTGTTATTCTTACAGTATCGGGGCAGTGGAGTAGCCCTGTGGTAAAGTGTTTGCTTATCAAGTCACAGGTTTGATTCCCCTCACTCACTCACTCACTCACTCACTCACTCACTCACTCAAGAGTGGAACATAAACGTTGTATAGCGTGAATACTATGGCGTTCAACAACTTTAAGTGACTCACTCACAATGATTTCTTTAGAGCTGTTCCTAATAGGGCATATTTGAATGGGTGTTTTAAGATATATCTATCGAAGAATTAAACAATATACATTGAAATCATACTTCCTATGATCTTGCTAATTCCGGAAGTGTTTATGTTCAGTGTTAATGGACCCGTGAATATCCGGGGTAGAATAGGTCTTCAGCAACCCACGCTTGCCGTAAAGGCGACTATGCTTGTCGTAAGAGGCGACTATCGGGATCAGGTGGTCAGACTGGCTGACTTGGTTGATGCATGTCATCGTATCCCAATTGCATGGACTGATGCTCATGATGTCAATCATTGGATTGTCTGGTCCAGACTCGATTATTTACAGACTGCCGTCATATAACTGGAATATTTCTGATTGCGGCGTTAAACAACAACAAACAACAACAACAATGTTGATGCGCGACCACGCCCTCATACCCTCACACCTGTCATGTGAAGCCATTCGATGCCCTCACAAATGAAAACAACCAATAAATTGTGTTGCATTATTTGAGAAATCTGAACCATAACGGTAACAAACATATAATTTCGACAGGTGACCCTTTGGATCACGAGTTTCATGTTGCCCTGAAATAATAAATAATTGTTAATTTATAGTCACGTCGGTAAGCTGTAAAGTCGAGCGTCCCCACAACAGACACAGCCATTGCTAAAACTTGTGTCAGAACCTTTTCTTGAACTAATTAAATTAAAGGACATTCAACTTGAAATTTCTCACGGAAATGAACTGTACTGCTTTATGAAAAGCAATCTAAGAAATTAGGTTTAATTGTCAATGTTTTATCGAACCAGAAATAGAATATATCTGAACTAAATTTAGAAAGACGTCACAGTCCTAGTTAAAAATCACCAGTTTTGAAGAAGTCACTATATGTAACGAAATTAGTGCAATAATGTGACTGAAATAATAATATCTAAGACACATGTCGAGTCTGACCTCACAGCTGTACAATTATCTCCATATAAGGCAAGACCAGCTGTCTGTATCTGTCAGTGACACACCGATTGACATGACTCACGTGTGCTCTAGCCTTCCTTCTTCAACGGGTAAACCTTCACTTGGCACAGCACTTATGATACGCCATTGGTTGATTACGAGATAAACCTATTCTGTTTTCAACCTTGATCAGAAACTTTTAATTTTTTATTTGGAACCAACACATTAGCAAGAAGTATTTACAGGCTGTCTTTGACCATTCCGAAAAGTGGTCAATTGGTTATACAGGTAACAAATATTACCAAAGTTCAAGATACCAATTCTCATAGCCCTGACTACTTCAAAATAATGTTTCAAAACTCATATATTTTGCAAAAGAAGTTGTCAAACAATCCTCCAAAGATATATAGTTCCAATTTCATCGTGACCCGTTGCATATATTGTATTTGCACTGTTTGGACTCCGCCAAGTCATTCTTTATAAATCGACGCGGCTTTTTATTTCTTGGAAATCAGCGCGAAAAGTCACTTCTTGGAGATCAACATGACATCTCCCATTGTAGGGGTGACAGGTTGTAGAAATAGTGAAAAATATGCTGAACGAATTATTTTTTCAGCGAAATAATTCACCAACAGTAATACATCTTATGAATGACTATCTCTCCACCCCGAACTTCAACCTGGTTGAACTTGACTTCTCGTCGCTGTCCTTGCCTGCCAACATAGTTGTTCAGAGCTACAGAGCTATATACAAACTGCATCAACCCAGAGGACAATTTTCATCTGTAGTTATGTTCAACATTAACCAGGGGTGCCTCATGGCACACCATTGTCAACGGTAAACACCCTGACGTATGGCGGTCACGATATAGACTACATATTGTTGTGACGGATGATTATGTGGCCCTGACTACGTGGTTAGTTTCGTTGACTTTACGGTGTGTGTTCTGAAATAAATGTTTGAACGCTGTTGTTCTGATATCAAACGTATGCAATGTTATAATGGGTTAACGGCAGCCATTAATTAATTGATATACGTATCGAAGCATACATGCAGGCTGTCGATAGATCGATGTTTTTAGGCGCATGGCTTTTGTGTGAAATGACTTTAGAAAGAGGTATTAATGTGAAAAGAAAACCTCTTTTTAACCGGCTACATTTTAATGTTGGTTTATTCATGGGAAGTGTGGCGAGTTTGATGTTCTGACCCCGAATCCATGTAGGGTAAAAGATTAAGATGTTGGGTAGCTGGTTAATTAGTCAAATAATATCTATTGTCAATTTTGCATATATGTCGGTCTTGTTATGGAGCTAAAAGAAAATCATGTTTCTACTTTGTGCATTTAGAAAGCATAACAACCATTGTCTGTTATGTGCGACATAGAACTTTATGATATTTCAATGTTGAAGGGGTAAATATGATGTGTCATAAGGTAAGATGAGGTGAGTCGAGACAAGGAGAAATAGGGTTTAAAGTCGCTTTCAAAGTGATTTCATTGATACAGCGACGTGAATGCACGTGTGTGTTGGTTTGTTGGTTCGTTGGTTGGTTTGTTGTTTAACGCCGCACTCAGCAATTTTCCAGCTATATGACGGCGGTCTGTAAATAATCGAGTCTGGACCAGACAATCCAGTGATTGACATCATGAGCATCGATCCACGCAAATTGGATCCACCTAAAATCGGCCCAATACAATGAAATATCGAGTTGGAACCAAACTCAATTTACGTTTAGTTTTTGTAGTCTGCATCTTTCATCATTATGCAAATAGACCCTAGTATCTCGATAAGCGCGGGACAATCAGCATTATATTGATCTGTCAAATTTTCGGTAAAGTAGTGTTACTGGTAGGTTACAATGCATTGTGCAAAAGGAGCAATAGTTTCATTGAATATCAAACAACTGTGTACAGCTATGCCAGTTTGGTAACAACATCAACACGTACATAAAATACATGAGGCAAAGTCTTTAAATAAAGTATACTATTATGTTTTTTTGTTTCTAATTATCACTGGGAGTGTTACACATTTTAGACACTCCTAAACACACGCAGAATGCACGACTACAAAATTACTCATCTGGTAGACGAGATCTGTAGCTTATAATACCGGGTGGGTGTAGCTATTACTTCATCTCAATCAGTGCTAGCGGCAGTGAAGACAATGGTCTGTAGCCTATAATACCTGGTGGATGTTTCTGCGGTATTGTCAACATTGGCCCATGACAGTCGTAGCTCAACTATCACTTCGCGACTCAACTCCACAAAAGGGTTGTTATGTAATACATAACCCACCAAAAGGGTTGTTATGTGATATATAACCTACCAAAAGGGTTGTTATATGATATATAACCCAACAAAGGGGTTGTTAGGCGATACATAACCCAACAACAGGTTTGTATGTGATAATTATAAATAACCAAACAAAGGGGTTGTTATGTAATACATAACCCGTCCAAGGGGTTGTTAGGAGATACATAACCCAATAAAAGGGTTGTATGTGTTAAATAACAGGTCAAAAGGGTTGTTATGTAATACATAACCCGTCAAAGGGGTTGTTAGGAGATACATAACCCAACAAAAGGGTTGTTATGTAATACATAACCCGTCAAAGGGGTTGTTAGGAGATACATAACCGAACAAAAGGGTTGTTATGTAATACATAACCCGTCAAAGGGGTTGTTGGGCGATGCATAACAAAACCATCCTGTTGTAAGGTGATGCATAACCCAACAGAAGGGTTATTAGGCGGCGATACATAACCCACGAAAACGTGGATCAGTAAAACATTTGACAGTTTAGGTATATAGACGAAAGATGTTAGTGATATTGTATAATCCATTTTCAGGTGCCAAGAAGGGTTCTGTGGGAAAGCGCGTTGGTTAAATCTGATAATCAGGTTGTATCCGCCACTTTTAAAGAAGGTATCTCTTTGAGAAT